CATTGCGCAAATCGTTTAGCCGCTTCATTTAATCGCGCTAGTCTTCGGCAATCCAGCTATCGATCATCGATAACGCCAAGGACGCCGATGCGGCTAGCGATAATCAACGGCAAAAGGAAAAGCGCGATTCATGTTTATATTTGGTCGCTGCATACGGAATGCATTTATCGTCGCTGTCGATACGTCGCGCGCCGTGCACGCGCGTCCGCGACGCGAGGAAACGAGGGAGTTGCATGAGACGCAAAAGTGATTGTTAGATGAAAAACAAGAAGGAACTGATATCGAGTCGGCAACTTGACGAAAAAAAGAAAAAGACGAACGAAAGATCGATCACACTGGAAGATGTAGAAATAAATGTTTCATAAGTCTCTCGCGTTTAAATCGCTGCGTATACACGCGCAGCAGGATTTGCAGTTCTATGTAAAGAGTTTATATAATGTCTCACGCTTATCTAATGTAATTTTCTAGGATGTAATCATTTGTAATTATGTTCTTTCCCCCACGACCGTCTCGGAGAGGCAGCTCCGCCTTTGATTTTCTTACGCTCTAATCGGATATTGTTTATCGGAGTGAATTGATGCATAACGACGTTCGCTTCTCATCGAATCGTTTATCAAATTGACGAGCGAAGGAGAAGCGAGAGAGAGAAGGAATGAGAAAAATAATTTTAAACCATCCAAGGATTTCCAGCGAAACCTCGAAGCTTCGAGTCATCTGAAAGCTCGTCTGTTGCACCTGTCGCATTTTTCTGGGGGAAAACGCGAGCTTATCGCGAAGATATTCGCTATCAGCGATCGTTCTTCGGCCGATAACGGCGGCTCGATCGGCTGCACTCGGAAAAGGATGCGTCGGTGCATTTTTCCGACGGAATGCAATTAGCGTGACGCGAAAAGCGGCGGTATAAAGCGGGCCTATCGATCGGCGCGACAGACGGAGTCTCGCGACCCGCCGCGGCCGCTTCGATTTTCGATACCGCGGGTCAGAAACCACACGTTTGTGGATGCAACATTGACGATGTCTCGCCGATAACAATATATGGATGAACGCATATATATGTACACACGCGCCGTTATCGCGTTGTCCCGCGGAGAGGGCCGGATGGAGAATCACATCGATAACGATAATCGTGCCTGGCATCGCTCGTCCGCTGCTTTTAACGGCCGCGTAGTTTATGAACGAGAGCTTTTAGGTGCAATGCACGCGGATGCATCTCGTGTGAATAAATATTTCAAATCGCCCCGAGCGGTATCTTCTGCGAAAACGGTGACAAACGTATATTTGGGGAAGCTAATTTGATTGCTTCAAATTAAATTCTTCTTTAGATATGGGCAGACAAATGTTTTGATCATAGGAAAGCAAAGTTTTGTTCGCCGAATCAAAGATTTCGTTCTCTGAAACAAACCTATTTTATTTTCGTTTCAGAGGATCCAACTTTTGATTCATAACCAAAATATTTGTTTGTTCATATCTAAACAAGAATTTAGTCTGAGTCTCAACCTTATTGAATAAAAACCAGGTGGGAATCCATATAGGAAATCCATATGGAATCCCATGATTGTCTATGGGAATTTGCGGAAAAAACCCAGGTCTTAGGTAGGAATCCGTGTGCATTCTTGTGTGAATTTTTATTATCCTATGTAGATTCTCGTGAGTTCCTATGGATATCCGTGGGAGTCCACGTGGAAATTTTTAACAAAGAACTAAATGAGTTTTTCAGTATACACTGAGAAAAAAGTACTTAAAACTTTATGTCCCAGGAATAAACCTTATTTCTGTGAAATAAACCTTATATCTCACAAATATATTTTTAAATAATTTTTCTTCAGTGCATACTGAGAAATCCATTTAGCTGACTCAAAGCAAATTCTTGTTTGGATATGGGCAAACAAATGTTCTCGGTGTATATTGAGAAAAAGAAATTTTGCGAAATAAATATTTCTTTGTATTTTCTTCGATATTTATTGGTTAGAAAAAAATTTGACTGTGGTGGCTGGAATATATTATATAATGACTGGAATATATATTTTCGTGAAATATACCTAAATTTTCTTATTAATTGATTTATTTGCCAGGAATAAAATTTTACTTCGACATATTTAAATAAACGTTTATTCTATATTTCTATATTTTATATTTCTATATTAATTATTAAATAAACCTTATATTTCACAAATAAATTTTGTTCAGCGTATAGAGCCGCGATAACGTTAAAATTCGTTAATAATGATAATTGACGATCGTCGATACATTTTGCCGCGATTTGCGCGCGCTGCAGCGTAAAGTAACTTCACTTAATTTTTGTGTAAAATCGCTTCCACGAGAGTGATAATAACACGATCGCGCAAATTACAGGTGAAAAGCGGCGGTCGTGTCAAGGGGCTGTCGAGAGCAAAAGAGGCGGGTTGAAATTAAAATGGACGGATATTTGCGCACGATAAGAGATTCGCGGATTATTTATCAATTAAATGTCACCGAGAGCGTCCCCGCTAATTAATTGACGCGTACCGCTGCGTAGGAAGCACGTAAACAGCCATTATTCATTAACGTGATTAATGTTATGTCATTGAGCGAAGGCGAAAGGCGAGAAGAATGAGAAGAGGAGATCCGGCCGAGGCGAGGTCTTCGATAATAGATCTCGGCGATGATCAACAATCTTTGGAATCCGCTATTGTGTCGCGTCTATTACCGTGACAAATGGAATCGCGCCATTCGACTTCTTCGCGTTTGGCACGTGCGGGGTGTACCGAAACCACCGGATATCCTATGAACTCCGTGGCTGACGTGAAACTCGATGTTCCCCTCGACGAAGATGTCGGGGAAACTCGTAATCTGCAGAGCAGTTGACGATTGAAGATAAGAGATTTCCGGTTGACTAAACTTTGGCCGAAAGAAACCGCACCGCGCGAATTCTTCGTAAACGACTTCGGTCGATTCGGAGTAAAATTTTTATTGACAGTCCGATCACGAGGATGACAATGTCGAAGTCGGAACGTGCAGCGAACGTATAATGAACTTTCTCGGAGATCCTCACCGAGGAAGAACCCAGATTGATTCGCGAAATTGTGAATGGCACTTCCGGTGGTCTCTCGAGACACTCTGTACGGATTCTTTCATTGGCGACTAAAATACAACAAAAGTTTCTCGCACTCTCGGGATAATAACTGTCACGTTTGTTCCTTCAGTGCCGATTTATCGTATGTCCAATTACACATCAGCGTTACCATTCGTTAGTCCGGGCTCACAATAGGTATAAAGTAAGCTTTCAGGCTTTTGCTCTCAGCAATAAAATGTAATTTCTGACAAAAGGCGTTCGCCGCGCCGCCAGAAATCCCAATAACGCTGAAATCTTACACGGAAAAAAAGTCAGTCTTGAATCAATAATAGGTATTCTTATATATAAGCAGGAATATTATAATTTTCTTAGAAAATTCTTAGTCTTGATTTGATGGAATTTGTATCGTTACAAGTATTACTCGCATTCAATTCAAGATTACAATTCTTCTAAGAATATTATAATATTCTCGCTTATATAAGAGAATATCTATCGTTAAAATTATCTCTTTCCTCTGCAGGAAGTGTGACGTCTAGTAGTGCTGGGGACGCTTTTTATTGAAACACGGAAAGAAGAAGTAGCTTCCACAGCTAGAAATTAGCTCCCATAAAAAAGGAATTAGCTATCCATATAATATAATTGGAATTCACTTAATTTAACTAATTCTTTCTGCCCCAGTACCTAGTTTTTAGCTCCCACAGCTAAAAAGTAGGTCTGGCAACTATATTTCCCTTGTATTATATGAACAGCTAATGCCTTTTTTCCGTGAAGCTACGTTACAATTTAGTGCTTAGAACAAAAGCACGGAGGAGAAAGTTTTGCTGGAACAGTAAATTGTTAATATAGCGACGAAGAGATTTATTATGCGCGAAAAAATAATTTTACCGCCGTAGTAAAACGTCGTTGCGACGGTGATAAATCTGAGCTGGCGTAACCAAAAATTAATACTTTCAACGAATCTTTTTCTTCCCCGTCGTTATATTAACGAACGATTTGCTGTTCCAGCAAACTTGTTTTCCCCGTGAGGCTAAAGGCTCACTACACCTATTGTAGATCCGGATTTGCTCGTATTTCACGAATCTCTTCTCGCGACTCCGAGGAGGAAAGCACGCGACGGATTTTTTGTGCGCCTCGCGTTACGCGTAACTTCACCTCTTTATAGCTGACAACAACGTGAATAGTGGAGCATCCATTTAGCGAGCACAAATCTCTCCAGGGTACAGCCGTAACACACGGTTATTAAAACGCGCTCGGGAAAACGAACCGTGATGGATCTCTCTATCTCTCTCTCTCTCGAGGGACGAGCGCTCGTACATTCGCTCGCTCGTTCGCTACCGAGCGGATACGCGACACGCGATTAATAATGCCATTAAACAATCGCTACCGGGGCCACTTCGGCAGTAACGACTTGCCGAGAATCCGCGTCGCTGTCGTTACACGCGACCGCCGACGAGGCGACTCGTTCTTCGTTGGACGCGTAGATCACTCCCGGTCTCGAAGCTGTCGGAGGAATTCACGGAATTCCGGCTGGCTGACGTTTCGTGGGAATGACCCGGGGGAACAGGTACGACTCGCTGCGACCTTGTCTGGCGTGAAAACATCGCGACGGGGCGCGATTTCCCTCCGAAAAAGGCGTTCTCACTCAAGCTGGAGCTTCCGATGTCGCCGTCGCTTCTCGCGAGAACCACCGCCGCGTTAATCGCGTTCTTCCTCTTCTTCTGCTCACGAGCGAGAGAGAGAGAGAGTCCGAGGAACGCACCACGAGTTACAACTTCGCGATCGACGCGAGCTCGATCTCGCTCTCTCACGGGAGTCCCGAACCACGGGGAAATCCGGGTCGTCGGGGTTCGCCGGTCTCGACGCGCTCTCTCTATCCGGCGACACGCACGCACGTACGGGTTCACGCAGGCAAGCAAGCCACGCGGGTAGTCTACGAGCGAGAGCTTACCTAAGCGCATCCGCTGGCGGCGGCGTCGCGGCCCACACCCTCTTCGAGTTCCGAGCTGTCACTGTCGCCGCGGCGCGACGCGTCGCGACGCGCGACGCTCCCACGCGATCTCTCTCCCCTGCGACGCCCGCGTAGAATCACGCGTGCTGGCACGGCCGGCCGCCACCTGATTTTCCCGTGAAAACAATCGGCGCGCACTTCGAGGAGCTGCCCGGCTGGCTGGCTGGCTCATCAGTCGGAGGAAACGCGCACCGACCCACCGTGGTTACTGAAGCAGGGCTGCGAGCACGTCGCGCTCGCACGAGCAGAAAAAGCAGCTCCTTCTCCGCCGAAGTCCGCGGCCTCCGGCCTCTCCAGGGGAAATGCGCGCCTCAGGTTTTTCGCCTGCGCGCCCGACCGGGCGAGCCCGGAACAGCGCCGGCTGACGAGCGAAATGTCTCTATGTCTCCTGCACCTGTTCCCCGCGGGAGCACCTTCGGCCACGCTTCTTCCCTTTTGTCGCGCTCGTCTTCAGTGTTGGGAGACGAGACGGCAGGCTTTCAGAGCCGCGGGTGACGCGCTGCGACACAGCGTCGTTGCGAGCGCTTTTCTACTACGATGACTGAACATGACACGAGCCGACACGGAGCAGAGTCTCGAACGTTTATGTCCGTATCATGGCTGCCAACTTCTCTGTCATTTCTATATACGTTGCTTCCCAGCAGGAGACACAAGCCTTGTTAACAATATTCGACTCAAACGTTAAAAATAATATTTCTACACTGTGACTTTTATATGTAGTATTTCAATATATATTTATTTAATATTATATTATCGTGCAACAGTTTAAAAAGATTTATAAAATATTGTGTCAGATGTTTATAAAATTCGCATAAAATCAGTGTTTCAAAAAATTAATTTAATGTTTTTTTTTGCTTTATTGAAGATACTTAGTATAATGAAATGTAAGCTCAGAATGCGAACGGAGTTAAATATAGGGAATTTGGAATGAGATATTTGAGGAATAAGCTAAGTTTTTGAGACACAATAAAAAAATAGGGAATAATATATAAGAATATAATATAGAAGAATATAAATGTTGAAACGAGACTACCACTTTTACCATTTTTTAATTGAAACCTGTACTTTCGTTAACGCTTTTATCATTTTCTTGATAATTCGATCGATTCGATTCAAGCGGATTTGAGGATAAAAAAATATAAATGATAAATATAAAAACGTGAATTTGTAACCTGTCTGATGAGTATTGCAGACTTTCCTGGTGAAATAGCAGTTCTATTTCTGTTCCAGCTTTGCACAAGTAGTGTCAGTCTTGAAGTTTCTAGCACATATTACCAGTCCCGACTACCAGATGTCTCTCTCGGGCGCACTCTGCCAGATACATTGCCGACGTAATATCTCTCGCGGGGTTATCGAGAAGTACGAATGAAAACTAAAATTGCAAAACGGTTATCCGAAAGTGGCGAAGAATTTCTCCGAAATTCGCCGAGGTTTCATCGCAACAACCTTCAGAAGCGCGCTCGGGCTCCGTGATTGATTTGCTACTGGTGCAACCAGACGAAGCCTGTTTTGAACGCTAACGTGTTCAGGTCTGGATTGGTCCGTCGGATGTGCGTTTTAGGCATTGACCTACAATCTCCCCAAACCGCCGTGGTCTGGGGGAAAAGGCAACAGCTGTGTGTCGCCACGGCAATTTGTCGGGCTATTCTGACTAAGCGCGTTACATTGTAGCGCCCATTTAGTATTATACACGTCAGTGTGATGGGCAGTGACGGTTAGCGCGTTTACGAGCGTAGCTGCGTAGTAGCGGGCTGATCACGACAGGTATCGGCGGGTCGTTTCTGCGATTAGCCGCGATTAAACGGCGTTATCAGTCCGCGTTAGTTTCTCTCCTCTCTCAGAGTCGCGTTTGCTCTCGTTTACGTCAGTGAGAATCGCTCGGCTAAGTGACAAGATCGCGATCTCGATTGTCACGTCTTGTCAGCGGTCCCGATCGAAAGAGGAGGAAAATCCGGAGTGATAAGCGACGGTCGCGCGAGCCGCGAGGACCTTGTTGAGCCGCGAACCGACTTTGTTTTCTTCCGCAGGCGAGCGAACACTCAAAATGGCAGCTGACAAAAACACTGACGACACGCCGGACCCCGGCGGCAAATTGGACCCGGCGGAGGAGAGGTCGCAATATTTCAAGAAGCTGGAGAAGTGGCTCCACGAGGTGTACACTTGGCAGAGCGTCGCCGCGATGTTCCCTTATTACATGATATCGGGCCACGTTGTGAATCCGATTGCCGGTATGAACGCGGACGGGCGCGTATCGTCCTGAGAGATGAAAAAGTCTCAGTTGAGCGGGCGGTGTCGAGTATATAAGTATGAGCAGATACATAAGTGTAGAATGTAAATACATGCAATTACCAAATGAAATGTAATAAAACGGATATAAAGCAAATATACAGAACGGTACGAAAACGTACGAGAGTGTGAGAAATGTCGAGAGATGTAAATTAAGTGTAATTAGTATAGTAACTTAATCTCACGTTAATAGTAGAAATTGTATTTGCATCTTGAGAGCTGATCGATATCCGTACGAAAGTGTTAAGGGTTTTTTGGCACATTTTATTTGTAGCGACACCTCACATAATACCAAAAATAAAATTGAGGCATTTTCATTTCTGCTTTTTTTTCTACAGATTTTGTTGATCTCTCTTGTAAAAAAATAAAGAAAAGAAAAAAAAACGCAGTTCGAAACACTTGACTAATAAAGCTGTAACGAGAAAATATGAAGTGATAATTCTCTCTCAAACTAATTTCTTTTGTTTTCCTAAAGAATTGAACTGCACAAAGTCTGGGAAAATTGAAATAACCATGCATTTTATGCATTTACATGGAAAAAAAATCTGGTTGTATTAACCAGAAAAGGAACAACCAGATGTGTTCTGATTGAAGGGAACAGAATTTCTGGTTCTTATGACCCATGTGTGGATCCAAATGTGGCTTTTATAACCAGAAATTCTGTTTCCTTCGATCAACATGCATCTGATTATTCCATTTTTTATTAATACAACCAGACCTTTCTTTCCGTGTAAATTTAGCAGATTAGGATTGTTAGGAAACAACCTGGTCTTCACATTGTAACTAATATTACGATTGATAGTTTAGCTTTAAGATTAGTTTCCCACGATAGGTTTCATGATTTTAGCTTCAACACCCTTTCAACCGAATCAAGTGCCCACAGCGCCGACCAGGCCGATAATCGAGAATGCGGATAGACAAAATGAGACCTTAAGGCGGAGGAGACCTCAAGCGACAGGACCCTTCCAACCGCCAGGAACCGAAGGTCCGAATGTCCCCCTTTGTTCGAGTTACTTCAGTTTTGCCTCTCAAAATAAGCAAATGTGTCTACGAAATTGGATTTCCGCTTTTGTGCGTGCTCTCCTAACTGTCGCTTCGTTTCAGGTTACGAGTATCGCATCCCTCCGATATGGAAAAGGTTCGCCGCGGAATTCATAGATTCAACGATGTTGTTTCTCCTCAAGTTCTCCATTTCGTTTATCGCGTTCGATATCTTCTACATTATGTACGTAAGATGTATAACTCCGTTAAAGTAATATCTAACGACACACACGTTCATCCAAAGTTTTTCATTTTCAAAGAAAGAATTTGCATCGGCCGTTTTCATGAGCAGCATTTCTATTAAGACGCAAATTATTCTTCTATTTTTTCCATTTGGCTTTTTCCTCCGTGTCGCAGTTTATCTTCTGTTTCAATTGTAATATTCCTAATATTTCTTCTATAATATTCCTGGGAAGATTATTTCTATTCTTTTCCGCATACAACGTGCGATTTTCCGAGCGTCCTGTAATAGCCTGGTGCAACACACTTCATAGCGGCTGTACTTTTTCAGAGATATCGACGACCTAGATGTATTGCAAACGGATTTGCGTATCGATTATAAAATGGCATTGGAGATGACTTATGGGATCCTCCTGTTGGAAGTGATCCATCGTGTAATAGTCTGTATATTTGAGGTAAGAATATTCCTCTAACTCAACTCAGTCGAATATAAGAAATATGTTACCAAGTAATCACAGCGAGAACAATTTCCATCGGATGAACCGGTTAAATGATATATTCGATTGTTATTTTTATTACTATCGATCAAATATTGGACATACTTTGATCCGATGAGTATCCGATAAAATTACCGATGCAGTTACTGATGAAATCTGATCGGAAAAAAAAGGAATTATATATATCTGTTGTAATTTTCATCCGATGAAAGGACGATTTGATCAGATAAAATGACGAAATAATCGGATATTGTACTTGATTGGATATATTCGTTTGTTATTTTTCAATTGGATTATTCGATCAGATATGATAGGATATTTTTCTCAGCGTATTAATCAATGGCTAACGTTATTCGTCTGAATCTGCTAACCATCAGTCTCGCAAAAAATTAACATCCATATGAGATCGTCCTGCTGTAGTTCGAAGAGAGAGAGAGAGAGAGAGAGAGAGCGCAGTGTATAATTGTTTCATTTTGTTTCGGAAACGTCTCAGGCTTTCTGGCTTCAGCACGGTATGTACGGCTATATCGGAGGTGCTACTCCCGGCAAGTACATGATGGGTTTGCGGGTGGTCCAGTGTCGAAGCATAACCCCCGTGGAGCGACCTAACGAGCCGGACGTGGTTCTGGTCACACCCGGGACCGACCTGGGCCTGCCGTTGGCCCTGGGTCGATCGGTGGTGAAAAACTTCGTGCTGGCGTTCCTGTTCCCCATCTGCTTCTCGCTGTTCTTCTTCAGGTTCAACAGGACCGGCTATGATCTGATATGTAATTCCATCGTCGTGGAAGACGCCTACAGGAACGTGAACAACAACAGGTTGCAACAACAGCAGTAGCCCTGCTGACGAAGGGGGCTGCTGTGCTGCTGCTACACGCGGAATTCTGTGATGTGTACACTGAGAAATCCCACTGAAATTACAGTCATTTTCGGCCTCCAACTATACCCTCTTCTGATTTTAACCCAAAAATAGTAGTTAGCAATATGCGCATGTAAGAGGTTATTATACTGCTGACACTATAGTCCACACTTATTAGAGAAACAGTCATCCTGACTATAATTCATTTACTTGTGCGATTACAGTTACAAATACCAAAATTTTTTTTCTCAGTGTATATAACGGGTGGCTGTGTTTGTACCTAGGTATGTGTGCGAGTCCATTAAACGTGTGCGTGACGTGTATATACGTGTAAAAAAGGGAAAAAGGAAAAAAAAAATAAATATTATTACAACCAGGTACTGTTATTCCTGAAACTTGTTCTCTTGATTCAGGAAAGACTGATGTACGGTTGTTTCATTCAAGATGTTAGGAAAAAAGATGAAGAAACAAGTTGAATCACGAACGACAAACGCGTCGTTTGTAACAACGTGATTACGCGCGGGGGACCCGATTTCTTTTTAATCACGTTTTCTACACTGAAAAAGAGAATTCAAGTAAATGCTGAATTCAAGTAAATAATTCTTCCAATACTTAACAAATTTTTATCTGGATTAAATAATATTTATTTGATCTAAGTAAATTATCCAAATAATATTTTGCTGAATCCAAGTAAAAATTTATTAAGATGTATTTAAGTAATTATTTGAATCCAGCACTTTTTCGTGTACATCTTCCTGCAATTTTTCCTTCGTATTAAAAGATTAATCGTACAGTTAATTTTTCTTTCAAACACGAAAAAATATATAAAAGGGCATCTAAAACAGACAAAATTTATAATTTTATAATTACTGTAAGCATGTATATAATGTGTAAAGAGAAAAATGGATAAATGGATAAAAGAAAATTATTGCGACAAAGCATAATAGCAAATCTACTTTTCCACTTGCACTTTCTACGCCTTTTATTTTAGTAGTTTCTTTCTTCTCTTTTTTTCTATAAAATATCAAAATGTTTTGTCAGTCCGGTAGTTTTATCCTCAACGATATCTTTGAGTCAAGTAAAACCGCGATCAATTATAGAAAAATACGAAACGATTATTCTAGTATATAATAAATTGCAACGAATTGCAATATATAGATAAATATCACTACTATATAGATTCCACAATTCATGTTAATGATATCTACTGATGCTTTATTACTAAAAAAATATCGCTTATCGGTCAATTATAGTGGATACTCCAACGACAATAAGTGATAATAATTAATAATTCATAGAATATCTTCCGAGTATTTGAAGCGTCAATCACCGATGTATATGTCATCATTCGTGATGATACAAGAGGTATCTCAGTGGTTTCGTACACCGACTATCGGATTCGCGTTCACAGGGGTAAAAAAGTGCAAGAAAAAGAGAGAAAACCTGAGCCGGAGGAAAGGGGAGCGCCGAGTGCTCGCCATGTTGATGCTATGCGCTTCGAGCGACTACCCGATACGTCGTTTCGACGGTGACAACAATAGTGCCAGCCAACCAGGTTCGCTATTTCCGTTCTCTCCATTCGACCCGATTCCGTTTCGCCCAAGTTTCTCATCCTACTCTCCCTCCAGTTATCTCTTATCAGCAGCTGGGATCAGGCATCGCTGCGCGCACGGCCTTTCTCCCTTCTTCTCCCCCTCTCTCTCTCTCTCTCGTTTCACGGAAGTCACGTGGCGCCGTCTAGGTGCCTCGGCATCCTCGGCGATCGCACGACGTCACTTCCCAGTTAAACGTGGCCGCCTCGCAAGCTAGGAGTGGCAACCGAAGCGAGCGTCGCGAGCTGTCAAGCGCGGCCACCGTTCTCACACAGCCCGTGAAACAAGAGAGACGGCTTGTCGAAGCGTTTCATCGTAGCCGGCACAGCGGGTCGCTTAAATGACTCGACGGAGCGGCCGTTGAGGGAGCGCGTAATCGGTCACTCGAGTTGTGTTTTCACCCGGACCCGCCGGTCAGGCGCCGCAAGACAGTCACCTCAGGCTGCAAGAAGAACATGTCGTCTTCGGGCGATTTCGGGAACCCCTTGCGGAAGTTCAAGCTCGTCTTTCTCGGCGAGCAGAGCGGTGAGTGTTGGGACCGTCGGTCGCGCGGAGTGTGCCGAGTGTCGCACGAATCGATTGAAGGCCGGTCCCTCGTCGCCAGAACCCAGTCGGGGTGACGACCCTTCTTGCCGACGTCGCCTGGTAGCCTTCTAGGTTATGGATCAATATTCCCCACCGCTCGCGCGCCATCCGCGATGACACGGCGCGTCGCCGTGTGTAACTGCGCGCCCGAGTTCCCCGGCCGCGCGTTTCACGCGATGATGATGATGAACGCGCCCGCTCTCGGTGCTTTTTCCGTCGATTAACAAACGAGCGCTGAACGCGCGCGCGATGCCGACGGCCCGAGCTGAGTCGCGCCTTCTGCGGAGCCTCCTTCTTCTCGCGCGTCGCCCTTTTCTCGCCGTTAATCTCACCCGGGGCTTCGCGAGATGCGAATTTCACGAGGGGTCGCCCGGGTTTCGCGCGACTCAATCATTCAGAGTGCCCCGGGCGAAGTTGAGGAAGAAGGCGATTAAAGATGCAGATGATCCTGTAAATAATTTTCTGAATAACAGAGCCATGTAATTTTGCATTGCAGTCGGGAAGACCTCTCTCATTACACGGTTTATGTATGACAGCTTTGACAACACGTACCAGGTATGTAGTGACTCTCTTGTTTGTTACCCGATGATTAATTGCTGTGTGTGTGTGTGTATGTGCACTAATGAATCATCCTTGCTGCACACGTTTGGGCACTTGCATCACCTGCATCTGTTGGTCTGTTTTTTTTTTAGCTGCACTGCTGAACTGGTGCGATAAATAAGAGTGAGACAAATATGTTTTGTCTCGTTCTAACTTAGTGCCGCCGGTTCAGCAATGTATCTAAAAAGAACAGACCGTGTGTCTCTATAGTGTGCATGCTTGTAGGTTATGCAAAATATGGTGTGCATCGTGTACATGCCATGTGTTTTTCAAACTTACAGGGCGATACAGTAACACATTGCTTTCCCAACTTTGTACTACTAACACTTAATGAGTATTCATCTCGAGGGTTTCGTCTTTTTTCAATTTTACCAGGAATTCACGTGGCATATGGTACGTTAAAACGGTGCAAAATCTTATAGAATGTATCTGAACTCTATTGACAAACTTGCAGGACAAGTTCTGTGTTAAAGAAATAAGTAAAAACGTTTTAGTTAACATATGTTCGCGAAAGCTTGGTTTTTAAGATGTAGCCTTCAGAAGATGACAACGATATGTCAACAAAAGAAATTTGTTACGATAAGCAAGTTAATATTAATAGAACACTTTTTTACCTACTTTTGAAGATAATATCTATCAATATTTCTAAATATTAAGATCAAGAGTCATCCAAGTGATATTTGGTATATTATGATCAGTTGTCGCAATTAACAGAAGTGAATCAGTTTCTTGGCTAGCGAGGTCGCCAGATTTTTGGTCCTTTTTTTTTTTTAGCTGAACTGGCTTCTCTAGTTCAAGAAATGTATGCATACTGAAGCGGGAAAATCTTGTACGTATATCTCACACGCTCCTGCGTGTATGTAAATTTCCTGAACTAGTACAGCCAGTTCAGCTAAGAAAAAACAGACCACTTAATCTCTTGATTTTTTCCCTGAAGCTACTTGAAAAGTTTGGTCTATGAAAGACCTGTAAATAATCTTTCAAAAATCCAACAGACATGCGATAACGTTAGAATTAATTAGTGCACTGATAAGGGAGACAGACATTTTGAATAATGTTTGCAACAGTACATGTCTAATTACTTGCTTGCAAAACATGATTTAATGAATAAAATATATCTTTTTCAAACTGATATTGCGGTAGCTATATCTCAGAAAAACTAAGTGTTTGAGGATATATATGTATTAAGACTTTTTTTTACTTCTCTTTTTCTTTTATGTAGAATTTATCCTCTGAGTTCTCGTCGGAGTTTATATACGCCCTGTATAAGAAATAAATCCTCGATAATTGATAAGGTTCGAATGTCGTTTATTCGAATGACTCATAGTAGGCAGTGAACTGTTTGACTATCAAACCTGATAAATCCTCTACTGAATGAGAACTATTCTACTTGCCTAATTCTCATGTATGCAACAGCATTGGACGACCTTCACCTATTGACACAGTTTCTTTAGATAAGAAAGAAACAATAGCTGCTATCACACGTACGCGTGTATATCCATTGAAGCTGAAATCATTTTGCCCACATTTTAATGCACGATCAATTTGAGATTAATTAACATCTCGTTGGATGACGACACTCATGTTTGTCGAGTTAAACCTTGCAATTATTTCTCTTACACTTGTACGGTCTTGGGAACATGTAGTCATTTCGGTTTTATGACCGATTAGAATCTAAATTGGTCAAGTTGAGAGAAAGAATCTTTTTTCGAAGGTACTTACACACTGACATCCGTTCGTATTGGTTCATATTTGCCCGTTGAATCTTTTTTTTTTACATGAATACAATCTGCAATGAGCGCACTGTGTTTTTGCTTCACCACAATTCATATCCTGAATACTCGATTCATTAATTTTCACATTAATTTATAATTTCTTCGTTTACGTATTAAACCGTATATATCAAAGACTGTGTGTATGTTTGGTTTTTATTCACTACTGTCTCTTATCATTAGTCCAATAATGTCCTTTTTGTTTTGGATATACCGCGCAATTGACAGCTGATAATTTCGCCGAAAAGCGACTGTCGAATGTTTGGCGGCCTGCTCGTTACATTCGCATTTTCTACGCTTCATTTCTTCGTTCGTTTTTCAACCGTCTTGAAGGTTACAAACGCGCGCAGAAAAATTGCAAGAAAGAGAAGGAGGCCTAATGCTAGCAGGAGAGGCAGTAGGGAACCGAGATATCGACTTTTTCTAATCGACAAAGACAGAAAGAGGGACGAAGAAATTTACGGAAGGCCGATAACTCGCTTCCCTCCATATTTATGCACTTTTATCACTCCGCTATCGGACTTTTAAAATAAATTGCAATGTCGCATGCTATTTTCCTCTTTTTAATAATTCTTCCGCTCTCTGAATTAACTACGTATTTACCAAGAATTCCGAAAATACTTCTCGTTTAATACGATTAATTGATTGTGTAATTTTGTACAAGCATTTGCAGTAAACTTGACATATTGGTCTCAGGCACAATGCAATATAAATATGCAATACGAGCGAGTACCTTTGTTGGATTATTTAATTGAATTATTACCTGATGCTTCAGGGAAAAATTTCCTTGTCAGTTGGCTTAATTTTCCGATATCGTTACTTTAATGGAAAATACTTTATAAGAAAGTTTTTACATATGAAAATTAACATATCTGAATTTTTAATATGCTTCATTTGTTTTGTGTGTTATTGCTTTTCAGTTTATTGAATTTCTACAGATCTAATTTTACATAAAATACACTCACAATTAATATTACAAAATATGAAAATATGAATTAATTAAATTCATTTATATATTTATAATGAATACACATAATTCGGATATATATTCATAAAAATAACGTATTGCGTTCTAATCCAGTTAACTATTATTTTCTTTTTAATACGGGATGAAAACATTCCCTGTTTTTATTTCACATTTTTAGAAGCAAGTTCCTTTGCACTTTTTGCTTCCTGTTTTGCATAATACGATAAGTCGATTGGTTGACTAGTATCGTGATCCGGTGTGTTGCAGGCTACGATAGGTATAGACTTCTTAAGCAAAACTATGTATCTTGAGGATAGAACCGTGAGATTACAGCTGTGGGACACAGCGGGGCAAGAGCGGTTCCGCTCTCTGATACCTAGTTACATCAGAGACTCTACAGTCGCGGTGGTTGTTTACGATATTACCAGTAAGCACCCGGTATATAAGGAATACATGTGCCGAAAAGTCGTGTGCCGGTAGCAGTGAATTTTCCTCCGAACTGCAAATTTGTCCATTGAACAGTCCGCTCAATAATACGTTTTCACAATTGTGGTACTTGAAGTTATTCCAATTTTATTGTTCAAGAAAATATGATCTTTTAAATAAAAAATCTCCTCAATTGATTTGGTTAAAAATCTCTTTAAATCGATTTGATTTGGTAGAAATTAAGTGCATCAATAATAATATTGTTGCCTGGCTGCCGGCAAACGTTTTTACTGGTACAACCGATAAACGAACTGTAAGATTAAGATTGCGTATTTGTTAGACGCCAACTCGTTTCACCAAACATCCAAGTGGATAGACGATGTGCGGACTGAAAGAGGAAGTGATGTGATAATTATGCTAGTGGGCAATAAAACAGATTTGAGTGATAAGAGGCAAGTCTCGACGGAGGAGGGCGAGCGGAAAGCGAAGGAACTAAATGTGATGTTTATCGAAACTAGTGCTAAGGCTGGCTACAATGTTAAACAGGTATTTCATCTCATATAGCCTGCATATTAAGTACTATGGTTTACCTTGAAAAAAACATTTCTCGAGTGCTATTAATTCGACAAGTTCGATCACGCTGTTGGAGAATTATTAATTTCAACTTGTTACGGGAATCGTTGATTCAATGTAATCGTCAATTAAGCAGAACGCGCTCCAAGGCAATTTTCTCCGAATTTTCCCGGGGAATTCCCGTTTTATATCTCCTAATTGATCAGTTTGCAATAATTCCCGTTATCTCGTTTGTCGTGAGAATCTCAGCAGACCTTAGTGATTAGATTTGACATTTGTACGAAGAGCACATTTCGGACGGCAGGACAGAAGAGTGATCGTTTTTATTGTTAATTATGAATTTTAGCTGTTTAGAAGAGTAGCGGCGGCTTTGCCGGGTATGGACTCCACCGAAAACAAGCCTCCCGAAGACAGTATCCTTTGCGTAAGATACTCACTGCACGCACTTTTTGCATGGCACTCTAGCAGAGACACTTCTCGCGGCGACTTCATTTCGCGTGTACATAATTCTCGTCGCACCCGTTATTCCCACGAATCCCACCCACGCATCTCTTTACTATCGACTTTTCGTCATTCCTCACTTCACTGTTTCCTCGAGCCGAATCTCGGTGTACGAATCGCGCGCCTCACACCATCTTTTACCGTCTATCATTCTCTTTTCCTATTTCGGGCCTTCATTTGATAATCGATATTAAATTTCATTTCAATGTTATCGCAGCAGCGGTCTCTTTTCAGGACATCGGAGATACGAGATTCTCATCGGTCCTCTCATACACATCGATTCATTGTTTCGTCCGATATATTTCTTTTCAGGATATGGGAGACGTCGGATTTCCGTCGACGTGCGCTCCACTTTCTCGAGTCTTTCTCTATTTGGCATTTTTTTCTTATTTCGACGAGCGTCCGCTGTCTCCTCTAATTTCTCGCTCTTGATTTCCGAACGGATTTATTTTACGGCGATTTATCCGCCGGACGTTCTCTATTTGTTTGCGTTATACTTTTGTGTTTTCCTTAATACGTTCTTCAATCCGTAGTGCAAGAGGTAGTGCTCAAGGACACGCCAATCGAACTGAAAGCCTCGGAGAGCAGTTGTGCATGCTAAGTCGTCGTCGGCCTGACGGTAGCAGGGTATCGAATCGAAAGAAGCCTTTGATAAGGCTCCCGAACGGAGCCCGAACCGTCCCAGAGCCGCCTTTGGACCGGTTTAGTGGCTCATTTCGAGAGCGATAAACCGATTTCCCCGCGGGAAATTTCCAAGGAGACTTCTCACGGTCTTTCAGTAAGAACCCATTATTCACAGTGTAAATAATAATATATTAGTATTAAATAATGATATTAAGCGGTAATATCAATTTATTATTATTTACCCGCGAGAAAGATAGAGAGAGGGGGGAGAGAGCCGAATTATTTTCGAGAGATCCGTGCGCTGAAGTTGACCCCTTGGAAATTTTCGTACGGAACACGCATATTTACTTATATATCGTGCTAATATTAATATTATTAATTTATTAATTCGCGCCTCGCCTTGGAGGGAGTATAACGATATATCTATTTCCTTTCGATGCCCTGATCGGTAGACAAGACACACTGAGCTAAGTTATAACTTATAAGTTAATGACCTAGGTCGTTAGGGTACTGATTGCATTCGGCCTGTGCCTCTCACGAGAGGACCGCGCGGGGGGCCAACGCGCACTGAGCAGCAACGATTTCTTATTAAAACCAGGAAAAAACCTACAGCTTCACACACAGTAGCTTTTAAGACTGCTTTTACACAATGACGTGTTTTCCGTATGTTAGCCGACTCGTAGAAAGAGCCGTTAACCCTCTCAGCCCTGATTACGGCCTCTTGAGGCCTTTCAGGCCTCTCGGCCGTAAATGTGACCTCCTTCTTCCGGCTGCGGCTTTGATACCTCGCGAGAGAAGCCGTCGAGATTGAGAGCCGGTCCGCTAATTAGAATCGAATTAAGGAGTTGCGGTGAAAATTGTGACGTTCCATTTTGAAATAATTTCGCGATCGTAATTGTCGGGATTATTAACGCACGATGATTACAGTCATTTGGAAACAATGACTCGCGATTTTTTGGTTATTCGCATTTATTGAAATAATGATTCGAACATTTGCCGTATCTCTTAGTTTCCCGTACGCCGCGGATATTTTTCTTCCGGGCGAAGCATTACCTTCGTTCGCTTTTCCGAGCTTAATCGAGACTTACTTCACTCTTCTATGTTATGTGGATCAGAGCTACGAGGGTTAAGACGGCCTTTATGAATGTCTCAGAGTTCACACTTAAGCCTATCTCGCTTGTTAATATTGATTGTTTAATATTGTATGTTATATTTTTTACGCGTACAGGTAAATATACGTCGATAGTTGCTCAAACTCACGTTAATTGATCGAATGGTACAGCCGTAGTTCTCCGTGTTCTTTATTTATCGCAATTTCTAAGAACCGAAGTATTGCCCTACGTATTTTTGCAATACATAAGACAAAATAGACGCATACGATACGATGCTGTGTTAGAATTCAGGATATTTCGCGACAATTGAATTGGTTCGGAGATTACGCGAATAGCAGACGTTATAAACACGTTGCGTAAATGCAGTCACGTAATCGTGTCAATAATAAATTAACTTAAACGATCTTTTAATCGTAACAAATCAAGCCTCGAGGGCTGATAGTGCAGATGCTTGCTCTATCGGACGTTGTGGAAAAAAGAAAAAAAAAGAATATAATAGCCGTCGCAATATATGTTAACTATCGCTGAACGAAACTCGAAATATATATATATAAAATCGAAGACTCGATGGAGGATTTGGAGACAATTTTTCTACGGTATTTGTGGATAATTAGCAGCTAACTATATCTCTTTTCTACAAATACTTTAAGAGTACAATAATATAAACGAACGATCCTGTATAGTCTCGGACTTAACCATGCATAATCGAAGCATTGCATTTTTGCCTTTTGTTGAGATCCTTCGTTTGTTCCTTATTTTCTTGATCAATGTAGTTTTGTTCACTTGTACACGTAAACCGCAGGGGAAAGAGAGCATATTCCGTCTAAAATTGTATAGAACGATAATTGGGATCACGATAAAAAGGAACTCTAGTTTCCAGTAAGCTAATTTTAATTAATGTCTCGTTTGTTGACAATTCATCTACCATTGTAACGTTTTAATTTATATAAAAAAGAAATCTGCAAACACTATTATTTTTAACGTTGTTTTCTCGCCCGCTATGTTATTTTTTACCCCCTATGCCATTTTTCCATTTCTCCATTTCTCCTTTATTTTTCGATCTACCTTTCTTGAGAATTTGCCTCTCTTCGAATGTACTTTATTATTATTTTTTTTTGCTTTGCTTGAGGCTTGCATACCTTTTCTTCGATATTCTCTTCTCGTACTAGCGACCTTGAGAAAGTCATCGCATGTAATTATTGGAAAAGCAAAATCACATAAATTAAAAAGAAAATACGACAAATTTGTAGAAAAAAGAATTTAATCTATATGTATATTTTTTAATTATTTATTCTTTTTAAAAGATATTATTTATATCGAGTTAAGTTGATAATGTATCGATGGTTAATTACCTCTTCTGGTATTAAATAAGAAAATTAGTTGTATTTCAATTTGGCTTTTTTCCAAATTTTCGATTAATTTTGTGACATCTGTTTTTCGTTTTACTTTCTGTGATATTTTCTCTACGACACGTTTTCTCTGTGCTTTAACAAAGCTCATAACACGTAACGTTATGACACTCCGTCCCGTTTTTGGACTTTTATACGCTTTTCGATTGTCACTCTTTTTAGCTTTGATAGGCAGAAATTAAATCGCGATGTCGTATACAATCAAGTTAGATTGTATCGTTATAAAGGATTATTAATTAGAGGCAAATTGAGGGAGAATTAATTGCGAAATCGTCAATTTGACAGCGGCGATTGTCGAGTACGATTGATCGATGAGTATTTAAAAACATGGATAATGCTAGGAAAATTGTTGGAAAAAAAATTCGTCATTATTGTAGTATCACTAAGGACTGCATTGTATGTATTTTATCATGGTTTGTATGGACTCATTGTAACGTTTAATCGAAAACATCGACACGCATTGATTAAGTTTAAGGCTATCAATCAAATGTTTACCAAATGCAATAATGTATTTACTAGCCAATAACATTGCCAAATTGCAAAAATTATATCAGTTCTTGGTATCTTATTTTTCGAAACACATTTACATCCCTTTTCGGCACGGCGATATACTGTAAATCCAAATGTATTATTTTTTCACACATGAACGTCTCAAAATGATATATTTGGCTGAAGCTATTTTTACAGATGTTTTTTGTCGATTTGACTTACGTCGTTTAAAACGTTTAATCGTGTTAAATTAACACGTTAAATTATGACGCGTTAAGTTAACACGTTCAATCATATTAAATGATTTAAAACGGCAAGATATGTGTAAGAAGTGTGTAAGAAGAGCTTCAGTTAAAGGATTTGCAGCGCAGAAGCCGAACAATGGTCCGAGCTGTGAAAGTAGGGATATATCGAATACATCGGGAGTTTACGTCCTATGAGAAAGAGAAATGTTGGGATATACAAGGAATGTTTCATGTACATATCAGGATTACATAAAATATTGTCATATTTGTATTTCAGAGTATATTTCAAATTTTACATGTATATAATTTTCATACACTGCAAATCCAAGTGTGTTATTTTTACACGCATAAACGTTTAAAAATGACATTTGACTGAAGCTCTTTTTACATGTTTCTTGCCGTTTTAGGTTACGTCATTTAAAACGTTTAATTATGTTATAAATTATAAGCTAACACGTCCAATCGTATTAAATGATGTGATTTAAAACGGTAAGAAATGTGTAAGAAAAGGTTAAAATAACACATTTGGATTTGCAGTATACGTATGTGTCGCAATTCTTTCAGTTTATTTATACATACCAAGCTTTCATTGTAATCTGCTATTCAATTTCAACGTGTTTTAATTTTTCGCTTCCGTCGGTCTCCACGTGTTTCAGTTTGGAACGCTAATGTATCTCAGTTAATGTATCTCTCAGTTTTCAATTCCAACGTATATCCCAATTGGCGCGCTCGACTTTCATTTATTTCACTCTGTGAACGTATTCCGATTCTTTTTATTTGGATCGTAGTCAAGACTACAGGATTTGAATTTTCTTTCCGAGGAACGTCGAGATGTGCGTATGTGTGTGTGAGAGAGAACGAAATGAGATGGCCGTTTTGATGAGAATGCACACGCTTGAAAAATGCACACGCCTTAACAGACAAAAGCAGCTGTCGACTTGCAGAATCAATCGCCGATGCAGAACGGCTCCGAGTCGGAGGGGGAGAGCGGCTGTATCTGCTAGGGAGATTCGTCTGTATCCGAGGAGACAGAGAAACGAACAGGGGAAAGAGATCGCGGTCAATCTCCCGACACGAATCATCATACCATTGCGAGACGCTGCTGGCTTCTTCTGACGTCGTTAAGGGAACAGGGGCCCTTCGTCGCCGAACTCGGGCCCTAAGTATCGTTTCAAGTGCTACTAGACGAACTCGAGCGATATCTAATACTAGCTACTTGCGTTGTTTTCGGGCCGGCTTCGTGCAAAGATAAAGATAAAAGGAAAAAAAAGAAAAAAAGCAACACACACACACACACACACACACACACACACAGAAGATCGTACCCCTCGCGTCGGGGTGTTCCCTTAGGGAGTCACTTTCCGTTTAAGCTTGAAACGATGATAGCTGCGGAATCCACGTGAAGCCCCTCTTGCTACTCCTTTCGAACCCCCTAGTCGAACTAGTTCAACCTTCTCGCGTCGAATTGTAAATATCTCGGCGCGATTCGGCCGAGGCCGAAGTCGCGAGTGCAATTTAATAGTTTTCGAATTAACGCGAAAGCGATGGAACCTTCGTTTGGACGTTTCGCCGGTCAATTTGTAATGAAGAACAATTAGTGATAATTGTGAAATTATTATCGTAGAGATCGATGTTATTATTGGTAGAGAAGTTAATGATGATTGTGATAACGTATTTGCAAACGATTGGCGCGGGAGGGTTACAGGGGTGGTGAATCGTTATAGTGGCGTTTGTCTCTCGACATCAAGCAATATTTCTCGGTTTCTGATGAGTCCTACATATCACCATTTCTTATCGAAAGTGTCTTCTTAATCTTTGGGATTGACTCCGTATCTACAGCGATGACTCAATCGAGATTCCTCGAAAGAAGCACATTCCTACACAAAAGTGAAAACACGCTTTTGCACTTGTGTTGAAATCGGCCCTTGTTTACATTTTTGTGTTACACTTTTGACATACCCGTGTGTTAATTTATCACATTGTACACGGAGAAAATATTGTAGTAAAAATTATCACACTAATTTTGCAATGTCGAACTATACCGGAATTATAACTGAAATTATGATATGTATTATAATCTTTAGTGATGTACTTCATTGTATCACTAAATATTATAACAAATATCATAGTTTCAATTATAATTCCGGTATCGTCCAACATTACAAAATTTGTATTGTACTTTTTGCTAAAATATTTTCTCCGTGTATTTATGTTTTCTCATTTTGTCGATATTCAACATGTGTAAGTGTTAAAGTAACACATTTTATACTTCAGTGTTGATTAACATATAAAGTGATTTACTCGTGATACTAATATAATATTTGTGTTACTTCTCAACGTATTTATCTTGCATTAACATAAAAATTTGAATGAATATTTGGAACATGAGAAATGTGTTAAATTTAACACCAAATTTTTTACTATGTATTCGAGAGAATTCGAGACCTGTCAGAATTTCTAAACTTGGAATACTCGGGAAGATTGATCTTATACATCTCGCACGATTGTTATATTAACCTGTTTCGATTAATCCGTTATATATAATCTTTTGATTAATCTCTTTAATTAATATTATCGTGATATATTTTTCAGTGACATTTCCTGATCTAAAATCATTCTTATATGACTCGACTTGTGTAAAACTTACTTTCTTTCATTCGTTTCGTTCAATATTCAAAGGATACTAATTAATGGATTACGAATGATTGCGGGACGCGATTGAGGCGACATGTCGCGATGACAAAATTTGTGATTCCGATATTCGACGCACGCATTATCAGACATCGGGTGTGTCCGATCGATTAATGATCGCCGTAGGCGAAGGAATCGATTCACCGTCTGGTCTGCAATTAGTGGAAATCATCGCTACATCCTTCCAAGTTTAAGCACACACATACACACACACTGTCTCTTCGTTCGGAGATTCTGTATTGTAACCAAACGCGCACAAAAGACAAGCGAAGCTTGAGGAGAGAGGACAGTTCGATGGTGTATTTAGTGAGAAAAGGTGGAGAATGCAAGAGGAGAAAAGTGGGGGAAGCATGACTGAAAGTAATCGTTCTCCGTGGGGTTAATTAAGCCGCTACTAAGCTAATTACGATGAGTTCGCGAGTTTCTCAAAGACAGCACGTGTTTATCGGCGAGGTGTTGTTCGTTCGAGGATATTTCTAATGTACCACGTATTACGAATCTTTATAGACGTTTTTCGATATCTCTTGATAATAAGCGACTATAACTTGATAACGAGACTCAAGTCTGTAGGCCGACGCCGTAGGGAAGATACGTGTGCGTGCACAAACGACCAAACTCACCTGCGAGTTCACTTTTTCTTGCGAGTCGTCGCTTGCCATGCTCTCCGAATCCTCCTGTATGATATATTTTCCGCAACCGTACACATATATCCGATTAATATTTCCCCGAACGAATTAATTATTCCCGAGGAACATCCGCGTAATGTCTCGAGGATATCCGAGAAGTCGTTAACTTCATTCTCGAAAATCACGAGTAAATCACTTTATTATACGATGTAGTAAAATTCCACTGCATAATTATCAGTAATTCGATTTGTACTCAAACCGTGAGCAATTGCATTTGCATCCGGATTATTAATATTTATATTAAAATCCGGGATATTAACGATTGAATTTAGACTGTGAATGTAAATGAACGGTGTAAGTCAAATTTAAATTATGTTCGATCGAAAATCCGCGCAATTCGAAAGGAATTATTGAGCTTTTAGTTCAATTGGTGCTTATTAACGGACGTTTGGTCATTTGTGCAAGAGAGGAGACGCCTACGCTACGCCAAACGCAAACACCCGTCGAATGTTTCTCTAGAAGATGATTAATCGAGGCTTGTCGGAGTAATGAATCAATTATTAGCCGTGCTTGACGCGAAATCTCCACGAGCCCTAGCAACGTCTCTGTCCCTTTGCACTCGGAAATCGCCTAATTGCAACGCGCAAATTATTTTCCCACACATTTATATTATCTTACAAATTTGAATCATGCATATTTTATATCCGGAAAATTCGAATTTTGTCGGATTATTAATTGTTTATACCCCCCTCCCTTATGCATTACGTTATATCGAATTACGCTAAGAGTAATAAGAAAGAAGCATTATTTATGATAAATTTAACATGACGAGTTAGATCAATTAATTGATATATACGTTTGGTAAAATTCACCCATTTATACATCATAATAATCTGCATGATAATATGATTTGCAGAGTATATTTATACACGTACTCGTGCAAATAAGTCGTTCCTCCCAATAAGGAAGGTTTCTCGTTTGTCTCGAATGCGAATGCAGTTTACGCTTATTTAAAACCGTGACAACGTGAAGTAACTTACTTTTGAAAAATAAACTGACAGACGAGTGCAGAGGGATGGAAGCTGAACTATCTCTCTAGCCAGCCCCTATATAACGTGTCGTGTAGCGTTAATCCGACAGTGTCGCACAGCAATATTGAGTATATACCGCGAGATGGTTTTTTCAAGCACTATTTCGAGACGACGCGTTCGAGGGCGGATCTACGGAAATTTCATGATTAACATAGATAGGGAAGATGTGTGAGTTATATCAATTATACTTTCACGCGAAGGCTTCATCGTAATCATCACTCGTGTATGTGTTGAATTTGTATGTTACTGTGATTATGATTTGTTAGCACAAATATAATATAATGACCCAACGATCACGAATCAATCAATCATCTCACCATCGAAAGTAATTGTCGTTGTACATATATATTGTCGATGTGCACGTTCAATCAATTAGTTTACTCGACGCGTGCCCCCTTGGTTTATTAAATTATATCGATTTTGCCATTTCAATTCGAAATTAAATTCGCCAACGTAACGGATAAATCAGTTAATTTGTTTACGCTTCATCACATTTCCGGGAGAACAACGGGAGAACATATGTCAAAACAAATCGACTCGCAATCGAGCGGTCAATTTTTCGCGGGGTTTAAAATTTATTCGGTTTGTGAGAAGTATTTTTTTTTTTTCGAAATTTCACGACATTCAAAGGGTGGAACTTTCTTTCTCTCTCGAATCCGCCCTTAAACGCGTGCGTGTCCCTCTTTTATTTATTTCGCAGGAAAAGACATTCGCCCGCAATAATCCCAAATGGCGAGAAAATGAAGAGCGACGATGAAAATGAAAATTGTATGAAAATATGGTGAAATTCATACATTTATAAGTCGTCCGATTCATAAATGTATAAATTCATGAATATTTATCGCGCAAATCCTTTTCGGGAGTGCGAAGCGCGGTATGGTCCTTACGAAAAGCCTAAAAAAAAGTGTCTCGGTTGGAAACCCAAGAACGGAAGGATCGCAGGGAAATTGCAGGCGATGTCTTTCCCATAAATGTAACTGATAAGTAAACCGAAGTATGCCGATCTAGTCGAAATGATCGTCGTGTAGCGAATCGAGCGGTTATTTTAATTGCTCGTCGAATACTAATTGATACTCGACCGATGACGATTGCGTTTATGGCGGACGGATTTTTCTAACGACCGAGGAATATTGTCATCATTGTTTCAACCACCAGATCTAGAAATAATTCTGACTTCGTGCGACTACGTATTGAATTAAGAAATCACAGGATGAACGAAGCGAATACTTTCGTTGAAAAAAAAGAAGGCTATTGATAATCGATAAAAAAAGAACTAACGTTTAGTATTGTACGATGTTATTTTTTGATTTCAGTACGGATATTTCGTGGTGTCGCACATTTGTGTTGATATTTAATATTAACATTTAATAATGGCATTAATATTAAATATTATTATTAATATTAATATTACTTTCTAATTTAACGCGGTGCTAAAAGAGACTTGATAGCGGTAATGAGCTCCAATTAGGCTAATTAATGTCGGGGGTACAATTGAAACGAATGTTCCGACTAGACCGGAGCCTCAAGTGCATTTACGACTTATTATATATATATATTATACAAAGGTATATAAATATATAAATATGTCGAGACGAACTTCGTTATAGGAGTGGTTGTGTCGGGCGGGGGAAGGAACAGTCCTTTTGCTATTGTTTCTTGTTTGCTGTAGCGTAAAGTAAGGGTCCTAGTCGAGTAGCAATGGCGGATCGAAATCGGTATAATTTCGATGAGTCCAAATTCCGATGTACACCGAACATGTACAAGATGTCCTGTGCTCGTGATGCGGAGAGAAAGAAGCTGACACTTAATGAAAAGAGAAAAGGAAAGGTGGTAAATGTGGAATGAAATTTGTCCATACGAGGTTTTATCTTCTCGAAAATCGACAATGTCGCTCTGCTTCTCTAAACTTAAAGATATTTAACAACGCGTTGTTAAATTCGTCTCGACGATGATTATCGGAATGAATCACGAATAAAACGGATATTTCACGATGGTTGTGAACACTCCGTATATTTACGCAATACACCAGATAAACTATCGTTATCGCCGTGATTTTTGCGAAATGTCACGTTGCTCGGCGCGGTGAAAGTCTGTCTCTCTACGTGACTACAATATATCGCGAATGAAATTCACCGAAATTATAACGCTTTCAAGCCTTGACTGTAGCAATGGCGGATTATCGTTTCAGCTTCGTGCTACGTAGTTGTAGCAAGTGCATACACAGATTGTACCGTATTATTGTAAACAATTAGGGGAAACGATAGGAAGTACTGTGCAGACGAAAGCATTTTTGTCCGCACGGCGAACCGCGATCAGAGGAACAAAAATTGCTGATGACTTCACGAGAGTCGAGAGATGGTGAAATTTTTGTTCCTAATAGTAGAGGATGGACAATATTTGTTAAAGCGAGCCGTTCGTCTTTTTTGTCGATTAGTAGGCGCACGTTAATTTTTTTATTTACGAAGATATAAATTAGATCGAACTTTATTTCTTAATTGAACTATATTAATTTATTTATATTAATACATTATTTATATTTATATTATAATTTTTATTTAATTTACTTTTATATTTATATTTAATTTATTTAATATGTATCAAGTATTTTCTAATGAAATTATATAATTTTGCCAAATGACTCAATTAAGAAAACAATAATTTTATGCACAAGTTTTTATTTAATTTTATTTAATCATTCATTAGGTTAAAGCTTCCATTTTTTTATATATATTTTAATTTAATCGTCACCTAATCTTTTCATCTTCTGCATAGATGTCTAGTATTCCGTGACGAATTAACGATACTGTTGAAGCAAAATTACCGCGCGCTGACTATTATTTGGTTATCTCGTCTAATTTATTTAGTTCACGAATTTAATAATTTCAAAGTTAATATCACGTGACACTTCAAATAAACGGTTATTTATCAAATTGCAAAAAATCTCTTCTCCATATCGTGAGTTTTGAGGAAGAGCGAGCGGTTGTGCTCGCTTCTAACTGCCACTAAAAGCGAACTAAAAGCGTCTCTGATCGCAGGGTTCAAAGGCAAAGGAACCAACCCCATCTTTTTGTACCTTGTGTCTTAGATAGAGCCTCGTATTAGTTCGAGTCGGGGCTCGCGAATGGAGTTTTGCAAAACTTGTCATAACATGTGTGTCGCGACTACGATATTCAAACTGTAGAGCTTCAACGAACGAGCGAATAAAATTTTATGTTCACCAAACAAAACGATTATTTTTCTCTTCCCACTTCCCCGCTCTCTTTCAAGTTCTCGAAAATTTTCAAATTCAAAGTTTTACTAAAAAAATTCATCCAATCTTCGAAAATTTTAATTTAACCTCTGTTAATCGCAATATCCAATAGCTACAACGTATCGTCATTGACCTCAAGGTCTAACTTGTTCTTATAAATCTCTTCTCTTTGATTTCTTTATTGTTTTTATGTACTTCAGTGCTTGGTCTATTAGCTAAGTACTAATGAAAGAAAAATTGTTTCAAGAAGCAGGGGAAAATAACATTGTCCAACACCATTTTTACAAAACAAATGCGAATAGTCCGATGCATTTTTGTCTATTGAGCACGAATTTGTTGCCCAAATTTGGCTACCACGTCATAATTTTGAGAAAAATGACGACAAAGTGACCAAAAACGATGATTATGATTTTCATGACATAGCACTGTCAGCAAACTTGTGACGTAATTGCTAAATTTGAACAACGAATTCAGCAAGCAAAAATACATCGAAAATGGCTATTCATATCTTATGTTGCAGAAAATAAATCAAACTTTGTCGGAGACTTATAATAGGAGAATTAATATATCTGTAAGATACATTGCGACCATTCATTGGTGAAAAATATTGCGACTAACGGAGTGTTAAATATATATCTTTACTTCTTGTAAACGAAAGTGCATGAATTCGCTTTTGGTAAAATTTTAATATTTATTTGTTAATTTTATATATTTTCCAGATATATGACTCATTTCTGATTAGTCTGTCTCTAAATAATTTCTTCACTAAATTCTGTATTCCTGAATAGAACATGTATTCGGTCAATTTATTTCGGAGCGATATATTTTTAAGCGATCGATTTTCATCTTCTCGCGAAACCGATAGAAAGCTAATCCGGTCCTTTTCTCGGGATAGGTAGAACATGGGTTGAAATAGCTGTTAGTTTATTATATAGTTTATTGTAATGTCAATTATATACAAATTTAAAATTACGTCCAGTGCTTCCGACTACGCTGACATACCGTTTCTCTCGTCGACGTGCAATATTATTACAATCGGAGCTATTTCCGAACCCTCCCTTCGTTGCTGTTTGCTCATTAACAGCATCAGCGACAGACCTAATTATTCATTAATTATCCTTTATTTACATTTTCCTAACTCGCAACTCGTTCAGTCCCCTTCAACAGTCTGTCGCTACCTGGATCTTCAAAGAACTCTCGTTTTAACCCCTTAAAAAATAGGACAATCCTAAATTTAATCTCTCCTTCTTTCTTACAAATAATGTTTCAGTCTTAAAAATAGCGCGATATGGACGTAATAATTATAACGGCTGTGCTTAAAGGAATGGCATTCAATGAAAGCCCTGCTACGACCAAATCATCTCTAAATTCATATCTCAAGAAACGCAAGTCAGTCGTTAAGATTAATGCAGTGGAGAAACAATTCTCGCGAGAAAATAACGTCTTACAAATTAATGTTCGTGCGAGTACCCGCCTCGCAACGCTTTTGGAAGTCTTCAGGTTTCCTAAGTTAAAAAAAAAAAGACGAATTAAATTTGTAGTTGTCCCATTCTCTCGAAACGTCGGTAGGTTAAAAACGACGCGTTTTTCTCTTGTCCATCGCGTCCACCGCGGCTGTTTCGTCGTTTCACAATTTTCCACTTAACGATTCGCAATTTTTCACTCTCGATTCACGATCGTTTGGCAGTATGCTGTTTAGTGCGTCGAGTCACTCGACTTCTGACTTTATCCTTAATTATAAAAGAATTGTTGTTCGCTCGGGACACGGTCGGTCGCTTAACCCTTTCGTTCGCAGGAAATCATCGAAATATTTTATTCTCTTGCAAAAATTTGCGTCGTAATTTCTCACTTTAAACTCTAATGCTTAGTGAACTATCGAATTATCGTTCTGCAAAAATTCGACGTAATGTGTACTTTATGTTTTAGTTCGGAGCAAAATTACAGACATATCATTCTGCAATCGCTTATCAGAATTCTTATCATCATTTCATTTGTTTCCGACCAAATTATTGAAATTTTGTTCCGCAAAAACTTCACATGACGAAGTATTACCGTTGGAAATGAATGTGCACATTGTGGAAATGACGTAGACATATGGTCGTTGGAAAGGAAAGGGTTAATTGGGACTTTAATTGAGCATTTGATCGATCGACGTCATAGAAATGAATCGTCGTGGCAGCGACTCAAATCGACATCATCATCATTATCATCATCGTTATCGTCATTATCATCATCATCATTGTTATCACCATCATAATCGTCATCATTATCACCAACATCATCATCGTTATCATCACACGGAAGAACAATATCGGCACGATTCAATTCGAACCTTCAGTCTATATATCATAGAAGTATAACGAAAATCCATAAATAAATAAATAAATAAATGAAATTACATCAAGAAGCGCTATTAACGTTCGTTAGAGAGCGCTTCTATCAAATTAATACGAGACAATCAATTGAACTCGAGATCGTTTCATCGGGACATAAATTAAAAGCCTATACAAAATATTATTAAAATATTATTAAAATAAAAATAACATACTCGTTATTATCAATTGTTACATTTAATAATTCCTGCAACGTATAAGGGAAGATATATGTCTTTAATAATAGTTGAATAACAATAACAATGTGACATTAATAATAATAAGTAGTAAGAATTTTCCAAAATAAAGATCAATCTAGCTCTCCTCTTGGAGTAATATAAATATAATGAAGCGAGATAAATGATACGAAGGAGAGTGCTGGAGCTAGAGTGCCAGAGTCACTTAAAAGTAGGATAATTCGAGAATTGATCAAGTGGCTCGCGCGCGCGCGCGACGTATTAATGGAAAATCAATGTGCCGTTCGCGCATAATCCACTTCGCGGTGAATTTTGCGTAATCACTCTCTGGAAGTTCGCTCCGAAGCTCACGTTCACTTCTTCTTTCCGGAGGTGAAGAGTTCTACTTACGCAGATCCGCCTATCCGTCGAAGACTACGTAATTTTTTCGGCAGTTGGTCGCAGATTCGAAAGGTAGAAAACGATAACAGTATGGCGTTGTCACTAACACAAGGGCGTAGCGAAAGGATATAAGGCTTCTGGGCCCATGCAATCGTACGGTGGTCGACGACCTCTTTCCCCCCCTCTCTCTCTCCTTCTCTCTGCCTACCGCCGCCTCCACGTAAGAATCGATAGCGAAAGTCACCATCCGGGCCCAAAATCCCAGCTACGCCCCTGCACTAATACGTAATACTTCGCGCGTAACAATAAAGATCCTTCATTCACCGTGCTCCCCTCATCATTCCCCATCAGAGTCAATCTCAGAGTCGCTCGCACAGTCTCGGGAACCTTAAAGAATCGTCCTCTCCCCCGTCATCCATCTTCGAGTGTCACGGGGAACCCCAATTCTCGAAGTAGTCCCTCACTTTGACCTTAGCTGTCCTTTCGTAATCCCGAGCTATTCGCGGCCACGTCGTTGCCACGCCATTGCTCTCGGCGGCGGGTCTTCGGTTTCCGCGCGAGCTGCGGAGACCTCCGGCGTCCTTCACGCGGAAGGTCCGGGCTCGCTCACAGCCAGGCTGTCGACGGGAAAACACCGCTCGGAAGTGATCTCGCGGTGACGTCCAGCGGTTCCGCGGTCTGTCCGGGTCTGTCGCGGCCGTGTTACATGGCGGGCCGCGTTGTCTCCTAGAGTCAGACTCTCAGCTCCTCCATTACCTGCGGGTGGTTGTGTCCCTTCTTCAGGGTCCCGGTGCCGCTCATGGCCAGGCTCTCCTGCTGAAGCTGGTTCGGGCTGATGATGAGGTTCTGCCCGGGCTTGCCGGGCTTCGTGTTCTTCGGCGGCGGGGGCGGCATAGGCACGTGACAGGTATTATTCTGGAGATCGGCGAACTCCGGCGGCGGTATGTGCTGTATGTGATGGCGCTCGGCGGTCTTGGTCTCCAGCTCGCCGCAGATGTTGTTAGGCATCTGGCCGTTCTCCTGCCGCTTCTTCGAGCAGTTCTGGTGCTGGTGGTTGCTACGGTCGCGCTGGTAGTAAACCCCGGCGAAGATCAGCACGTTCAGCACCAGCAAGCTGCAGCCGATCGCGATCGTCACGCTCAGGGCAGTGGAGTACGCGGCGAAGCCGTCCTCCGGCTGCGCCGTCGTGTCCTCGAAGGCCAGCTCGCTGGGGATGGCGGTCGACGCGTTGAACGACGCTCTCTCGATGGAGGTCACCTCCAGGGTGGTGGTCCTCGCGGTCGTCGGCAGCCTTTGGATGAATCTCGGTGGTACCTGGTGAGCGGGATTCTTCGTCAGTTCAAGCCGTTTCTCTTTCTGTCGAATGATCTTCGTCCCGTGAGATCATTTCTTATTGATTGAAGAATTATTTCGTTGCGTAACTTGATAGCAATGGTGAGGAAATATTTGAGATATGATTTCGGTTTTCGCGGGGATCGGGAGTACTTTTTTTGCTTGCTGATCTGATGATTATAAATATAGTTCAACTGTGGTGATTATTGTAATTGTTTCTATAACGAGCGTTAGCGTACCTGCTCAGCATCGAGAAGGTGATGCGACCTAGGAACATCATCCGAGCCGGGTTTGTGAAGGTCAGGCACCAGGTTTAGCCAAAAAGAAAGCCGGTGGGCCCTATAGTGGTTCTTCAATTTCGATTTGAGCTCTACGAAATTAATTTCAGTATGAATTACGAATTAAATCCTTCATTACGTTTTTTTAATAAAGAATAATGAATATTAATCGAGATATGAAAGCGTAATAGACAGTATATATTAAACGAAAATGTAATAGAGATAATAAATAGATTAAATAAGTAAAAATAAAATATACACCGGGAGAGAAAGAGAGAGGAAATTGTTGCTAGTACTACTTCTGATATTTTACGATAAAAAACAGAATGAACTTCCGCAAATGAAATATGACAAAATCGATAAACTGCCCCGAGTAATACCGGGTAAAGGAATAAAATACCAGATAGGCTTACCTATACTAAGATATTTCTTGTGGACAGCCTCGTAGGCGGTCCAATCGATATTCTTGAATTTGGTTCTTTCCGGCCTGGAGCCGAGGGGTCCAGGATCGGGAGTGCCCTCGTTCGGATTCCTGACGATGGAAAACAAAACCGTTAATAGCGGCTCCGGGACGCGAGTTTCCCCATTTTACGAGCGTCGTGCGGGAACGCTTTTTTCACGACTTACCCGGTGCGTGCGAAGTTTGTCAGATAAAGTATCACGCTCTCGGAGAGCGCTATCTCGGCCCTAGTATAGTTCTTCGGCCAATGGGATAAACCGCCGACCAAGGGAGCCCCGAAAAAATATGGCAGCTCCTCCCCGTGAATGCAACCCGGCCTCTGTGAGAGTAATCGTAATCGTCAGGTTATTACTCGCCGCAATCATTAAGACGAGTTCAATTTTCTTTTAGGACACACTGTACGTTACGATATTTAAAGGGAAATATTCTCCCCGGGATAAATGCTATTTTTATTGGCATAAGGCTATACGCCCACTTGGATATTTTATGGCCAGGAACAGTAGCCCTCCTCCCCCCGGCAATAGACGAAAAAACGCATATATATAAATATGTATAAATGCAGAATATAAGTATTGATCCAACCTGTAAGCTGGGCCAATAAATCTTTAATATATATATATATATATGAAGGATCTTTAATACACATAGCGTGTCCCAGTATAAGGAGAGCATTTAAATATTTTGGTGGTCTAAATATGGGAACTTTAAAAAAATCGAAAAAAGACTATAAAACATTTTTTTCCACGGTATTCTTCCTTAGAAAATTATTCGAATTATGCCGTAAATATTTCTTGTGTCATTAGAAACAAATAAGATATTCTGAGGTGTTTTCTTTATGCTGGGACATCCTGTATATGTATATGAAAAACAGAAAATTCTTTTGGATTCTGTAATTATGCCCGTTTCACCTCCCGTCAATCTTTTCTCCTTTTAACTTTCCCTAACCTAAATAAAAAAAAAATATATATATATATTCCTGAGATAAACCATTTCTGTCATTTCCCAGCTAAACCAACAGTAACATTATATCAATGTTATCATTTTTCGCTCAACAACGTAAATGCAATATAATAATTGCTCTTAACAACGTAAGTGCAATATAATATACTTTGTATGTAACAGTTACATCGTTGAGTGAGAAATTATAACATTATTGTAATGTTACCCTTACTTGATGTTTATTAAGTTGTTATCTAAGTCCACAATACAATTATAGACCTCAAACTAAAGGGATTTACTAATTTATTAATCGCAATAGAGATCGTACTGTACGATTACTGTACGCTGAATTATTAAATCTCATCTGCTTTTGAGATCTATAATTACATTATAGATTTGAATAACAGATGACATAAATATTTTATCTGGAAATGAACTTCATTTGAAACACCTGTTGTTTTTCCTCCGACTTAAGTCGCCACTGCTCTACTACGTTTATGAATTAATTTTTTTCATCAACTAAAGAGAATCTGCAGCAGACCGAAACGTTTTGTTAAGTTATAATAAATTTTTGTTACCCTAGTGAACAATAACGACTTTTCGTAGATCGGATATTAACCCTTTGCGGTCGGCAGATTTTGCTCTTGAGAGTACCAGCAGGTCGGAGCAAATCTAGTGTTTCGCAGTTACTTTTCCGTACAGAATTTAAAGTCAATATATGGATATTAAAACACACAGAATTTGTTGAAACTGATTTGTTGTGTTTAATACTACTTATAATACGTAAGAATACAAAATTTTAAATCTCTGTAATGTTCTAAAGTATGATATTTCGCGAAACAATCACCGATATGAAGTCCTTTCATTTTTGGGAATTACACTGTATTTTTTAAATTTTGAACACAAATTTTATTATATACGCGATACTTTTTGATGGTAAAATAACGTGTGTGATATACACAGTGACTAGCTTCTTTTCTTAGCGATCTCATTGTTTCTCGAGAGCTCATTCGAAAAAGACTGCTTGGAAATTTCTCGGAACAATCACACATTGTTATTTCGTAAGTCGACCGAAACATTTGAATCACGAGGCATAGGGGACTATAGTGTTTTGTCATTGTTGCGATTTTCGAAGGTTCCCGCTACGGGGACATCGACTTCTACGACGATTTACCAGGTGTAGAAGTATGAAACCGGAATTTTTTTGTAAAAATTACACGTCTGTTGTTCAAAAATGATAAAAAATACTTTATTCAAAATAATGTCCATTGCTATTTATATATTTTTCCCACCTCTCCGGCAGTTTATGAATGCCACGCCAAAGAAACATTTCTTCTTTTGAAGCGAACCAGCTATCGAGCCATTTACGTACATTTTTATACGAATTGAAGCGTTGTTCAGCGAGACCGTGTCCCATTGATGCGAATAAATGATAATCGGACTAAGCCAAGTCTGAAGAATAAACTGCATGCGTTAGTATTTCCCAACTGAACGCCTCGATCGTTTCCCTGACCCGTTTTGCTGTGTGTGATGGGGCATTATCATGGAGCAAAATGACTTTGTGTTGCCTTTTTCCATATTCCGGTCGTTTTTCACTCGATTTAAATCCAGCATTTGCTGTTGGTAGCGATCAGTGTTAACGGTTTCAACAGGTTTTAGCAGCTCATAATAGATTACACCCTTCTGATCCCACCAAACACAGAGCATTGTCTTCTTTCCAAAGCGATTGCAGTGGATGTCGATGGTTCGCCTGGATTCACCCATGATTTCTGACGCTTAGGATTCTCAAAATATATCCATTTTTCATCACCTGTCATGATACGATGGACTTTCTTTTGTATCTGTCGAGCAGCATTTCACAAGTGGTTTTTCGATTTTCTTGCTGTCTTTCATTCAGTTCATGCGGAACCCATTTTCCCACTTTCTGAATCTTTCCCATGGCTTTCAAACGAATTGAGACAGCTTTCTGCGTCACATTCAATTCATCCGCGAGTTCTTCTAGAGTTTGAGTATCATCTTCATGCAATAAGGCTTGCAATTCGTTGTCTGCGAACTTTTTCGGTGGTTTCCCACGCTTTTCGTTTCTCACGTCAAAATCACCACTTTTGAATTTTTTGAACCACTCGAAACACTGTGTTTTACCAAGAGCATGTTCACCGTAAGCTTCGACAAGTATTCGATGCGTAGCAGTTTTCTTCAAATGATAACAAAAAATCAATGTTGTCTGCAAATCGTAGTTCGTAGGCACAAAACTCGACATGTTTAAGGTTATAGAAAAATATACCGGTGTATGGAACTTGGGTTGTTGTGTGTTGAAAATCTTCGTCAGCTGTTAGAGGGAGATGATGGCGCTGCAGAAGCGGTCTTACGGTCCCTAAAACTGATAGCTAGCACCATCTATAGGGAAATTCCGGTTTCATACTTCTACACCTGGTAAAAATGTCCCCGCTACGGGGTCACCCCGACAAGGGTTAATATCCCCGCAAAAGGTTAATATATGTTTTGTTATTTCACAGCCATATTTTATATTAATTATAATTCTTCTTTCTTGGCACTTACCACAAGCCTTACCAAGTTTGAGAGGCCACTTCTCTCTCTCTTTACATATGCATGTAGTGCGCACACAGATTGTACACTGCATATGGGACCTACAGTTTTACGCCGGTTCCGAACGGCAGTTGAAGAGAAGTTTTTTTCGTGGCATGGGTGGGTATTCTCCCCATGGGTGGTATACTCTTGGTGGTTTGCCAGACCACCGAAGAGGAGCGACGAGCATATGATAAAAATTTTTCGGGTCCTGGCCGGGGGATCGAACCCGGGACTTCTAGCATGATAGACTAGTGCGCTGCCTATCATGCCACGCTCGCGCTCAATAATAATTATAATAATTGAAGTAATATTTATTTATAGGGAAACACCTTTTGGTTACAAAAATAGGCCTAACACCCATAAGAATATAAAAGAAAAATATCCAATCAACGTTATATTTTGTATTTACGTCATATATATAAGAGAAAATAAGTAATTATACAGAAATAGGTGGGATCAGATGTTCCAATCGTTTTCGGATATGTTACAATAATGTTACGCTTGCATGAACTCTGACATTCAAGATTTTGCGGCTAAAACCGGCTCTACACGATGTGGCAAATATAGGCGAACAGAAATTATACTGATCACATATTTTATATTATGTTATTTATATTACATTTATTATATTATCACGTATATTATATTTGCTCAGCATATGTGATCAATATAATTGCCAACGTTCGCCTACATTTGCCACATGTGGAACCGGCTTAACACTCCGACGGTCGCAATCGGAAAGTTACGCCAATGATCTTCCGTATCTCTCATTGAACTATCTCTCTAATTAAACTATTGATTGATTAAACTAACTTTCTATTTTTGAATATCCATAAATGAATCCTTATAATCACGGGAAGCAAAACTATAATTTAATTAATAGTTCAATTAGAACATGGTAATATCTGAGAGATACACGCAACCATTGGCGTAACTTTCCGATTGCGACCGTCGGAGCGTTAATTAAATTACGGTTTTGCACAGTTGCTTTCATTCATTTATGGATGTTCAGAAATAAAAAGTTAGTTTAATCAACTGAAGCAAGACTGATTGGAAAAGAATAATTAATAAATTACGTGAACGATCGCAGTATACCTATAAGATACAAATTACCGTCCCGAAAAGTAGATGATCAGCTACATCGAACCCATAAAAATATTGAAAGGTGGAAGAAGTTAAAAGAGAAGGATACGTGGAAGAGTGTGATTCAATTGCCGTTTGGTTGCAGCGCTATCTCGAAGTTAAGAAGTATATCTTCCAGATATCGCGAACGACGGAGTGCTAAAAAAAATCTCAGTCGTTCCGGGATGACTTCGACCTCCTCTCTGAAGGCTCAATCGAGTGCAGCGGTTAAGGACTGAAGAGATTGGCAGGAAGGTGGACCGAGAGTGACCGCAGAATTCAAGAGAATTTTTCTGAGGTCGGGGAACCCTCTTTCACGCTCGATCATACGAAAGCACTCGTGGAATCTGCCGGGGACCAGCGGCGGAGCGTCGTTTCCCGGTTGAAATTGTAAGAATACCTCGGCCGATTCCGCAAACCCGGCGTTTGCGCGCCATTTTAACGAGCCCGAACGCCCGGTGTTCTCTCTCTCTCCCTCTCGCGTTCTCGAAAAATTCGAATTATTCACGTACTCGCTCTCACGAGAAGTAGCAGCGCGATCGAGTAACGCGGTCGCAGCGGGGAGCCGCGTTTCGCGCTGCAGTCCGGGCTCAGCTTCGAAATGCGGACGGATTAATGATCACCGAATGCGATCGAATCGATGGACGTGATCGCGGCATTGGTCGGATAATCTGCGACCGCGGATTAATCCTCCGTCGGCGAAAGGGGATACTGAAGACCCAGCCAATTCTTTGATTGTGAATTCTAGAATAACTGGTGCATTTTTCTGCCTTTTTTTTGTTTTACATAACTTTTTCACTGATTTAAATAAATACGTAAAGATTTTTCTTTGAAAATATACTGTTCTATGTTTTGTTTTACATTTTTTTTCTTTTTAATAAAAGAACTATGTATTACTGTGTATTGTGTGCTGAGCCAGTGTTTGAAGAACATTGCCCAGATTGTTGTATAGACTGTGTTACATAAATATTTTTATTTTTCGTATTTCTCACGTGCATACTAATTTTGATAAAAATAAACTGAATTTAATAAAAAAAATCTGCTATAAAAGTGATTTTATAATTTTTTTTTTCAAATTAGACTTTATTTTCTTTCTCACAAAAATCTTCGTTTTCAGGTGTCCAAATAATTCAACTTTTCGGAACCAATATCATTACACTGATTTTTTCGAAATACACACCCTCAAATGTTACATTTTTTGTAATATAAAATATTGTAACCTAAAAAGGATTTTTCCTGTCTCTCATATAAAATTTATAAATTTTTAACTGAAATCTCGTTTTTTTTTCTTCGGCGTTTCTGCTTTGATTTTAGTCTGTAAAAAAACAAGTAAAACGCAATCCGATTTCTACGATTGTAGGGACTTGTTATTAAAACACTTTCACAAACATCCGAGAATTTTTCAGATTTCTATACAATCCGGAACGATGTTAAAGCATGAATTTCCCTCGACGACCCGGATTGTCTTCTGAATTCAACATCGCCAACGAAGAGTTAATCGATGCTGGAAATCGAGAGATCGGTGGTCACCCAGCCGATGGAAAAATAATGATCGCGCGATCGCAGCGGTCGGTCTTGACGCGCTTGATCTTTTGCACGCTCGACCCTACGGGAAGACGCTGTTGCGTCTCTCGAGACTACCCCAAGTAATTTGCACGATTGTCACGACTGTTGGTTACGTTCCCGCCTCCGAGTCAGTCCTTAACAGTCATAACGCACGGATATCTGGAAACGTTGCGGCTTGAAGCGACTTGTAATTAGAAGCTAGTAAGTGTTAACGTGACATCCAACATGCTCGTAGTCACTGTTGCTCTCCTTCAGTCTCTCTATCTCTCTCTCCTCCCTCGGCAAATTACTAACGAGAATTCGCGCGGTGTAGTCCACTAATAATGGAAATATTCGGAGCAGTCGGGTTTGCACGAGTCTGTTCCCGCTTGTGTACGCGAATAAGAAACAGCCAGTTAGCGTCGCGCGTTTCTGCAAAACGCCCGGCAAGTGTCCGCGAACGTTTCGCCCGATGCAGTCGTGTCGACGCAATAAGTTCGTTGAAGGCGTTTACGCGCGATCCTTATTCTTCCCGCCGGTTTGGTGCCGGAGAACGAAGTGTGTGTGTATGTGTGTATGCATGTGCGTCCGCGTTGAACGGTTAATGCACTTTCATTTCGCTGGCGACGGTGATCGCCGGGTCGAGGTGCCAGACGATATTCGTATGCAAAGTGCACCGGGTGTAAGGCATAAAGGTGCCGGCGAAATAACGGTGTAGAGTGAGGAGGAAAAAGCACCCGCTGCAGGTGCGAGGTGAACGTGGAATTTCAAATCGCCCCCCCATTCGGGATTCTTTCAGAATTCGAGCGGCGCGCGCGCGCGCGCCGGTTGTCGCGCTCGCCGAATTTACGAGACGATAAATATGGAAATGATCATCTCTCGTTTGCGGGGAGGCTCCCCAATCGCTTCCTCCCATATGGATCTTCCCTGTCGCTGATAATCATTGGCTAGCTATTGTTTTCGCTGATTTCGAGCCCGAACGAATGCCGGTGACGAGTGATCCTTGCTCTCTAAATTTGTCGCGGAGGAATCACGCTGAGAGCTGGTGGAAATTCACTCGAAGCGATAAAAATGTGACGACGAGAGTACCGCCACTCGGGATTCACTAGTGTGAGTGTTTCGTTTGAACCTCTGGAGCGGAGGTTCTGAATCCATACGCGGAGAAATAGGTTTCTCATTCTTTATTACATATTAAATATTAATCCACTGATACAAAGAAAAAGAATTCTTTAATATCTCTTAACATATCGTGCCTTCTTTTAAATAATTTATTATTTGTCACAACCATTGTAATGTTTGAATAAAAATATAAAAGGAATATGTTGTTTGACGTAAAGAGAGAAAAAGAGAGAGAGAGAGAAAGAGATACATATATATTTATTGTTTGAGAAACCAAACAATCCTGTTTGTTGAATCAAACATTCGCTTGCTTGCTCCATTCCAAAAGACAAATTTGCTTCAATTAAAGAAATTTTATTAAATTTGAAAAAAATCCTTTTCTCTGCGTGGAGTTTTATTCAAATCGAGCAAATATTTACTTGAAACGCGATAGCGGAAATACCGAAAATACTCGGAATTACAAGGATAAGCGTTTAACTCGAACCCAGAATGGATTCTGAACCCAAAGGAGTGAATGTTTCGGAGGAGACTTTTAACCGTTTCTTTTCCGTCGCCGATAATCACCAACTAACTATTGCCTTCATCGATTTTAAGAAGAAAGAAACGTAAATGTATACGCATCAGATACGGATCAGCAATCACGATAGTAAATGCAGATGATCCCTCGAAAATCGCCCTCTGTATCTCTCTCTTTCTAAATTTCGTCTAGTGGAATTTTATTCAAATCGAGCAAATATTTACTCAAAGTGGAATAGCGAAAATAGCGAAAATACTCGGAATCACAGGGGGGGGAATGTTTAACCCAGAATAGATTTTGAATCCATACGAATGGAAGTTCCGGTCGATAAAAGTGAATTTGTTCCAGCGGGAATTCACTCTTCAATATCGACTGAAAATATCAGTCGACGATTTTAGATGGAAGAATCACGAGTGAAAAGTCACTCGACTTCGAATCACTCGGCTGTCATTCTACCTTTTGGAAGTGGCGTATCATTTGAAAATATTTAAAGAGTGAGAGAATAATTGAAACGTGGCTGGCCGTATTTTTAACACGATCGTGTAGACCGTATCTCACGATATAACATCCTGAAATTCCGTGCAACGGTAATAACTGATCTCATCGTCGCGATGCAATTTTCGGATTTCCCTGCACGCATCCGCTTCTTGTTAGACATCCCGCGGGAAAAGAGGTAGGAATATTGCTAATATATGTGGCATTAATAATCACACGACCGAAATTCATTCGAAGTTCGAAACTAAGTGCTGATATAGGGAAAGGGGCCGTATGCCTCTCGTAAGTTCCCGAAATCAGATATAAACGGGAGCCACCGCCACGTTGCTACGTTTCCGGCGAATTCCAACTTCCGTCTCTTGTACATATGCGGTAAATAAATCAAATGGGCGAGTAACATAAAAAACTGACCGGGAGAATAACTGTGGTTTAAATAAATGCGTCCAACTTTTATAATTAAGATAATGGAACGCGCGCTCGTTTAAAATGTCGCACTCCTATTTTGTTTTATTAATAAAACATGTGCGTTTGTAATAATGATAATAATATACTATAATAATACAACAAAATATAAATAAATAATCAAAGAAAAAGAAAAAAAACATATATATATATATATATATTCATACACACAAATAAATACATAATATGTATATTTTTGCAGGCGTTTTCTATTTTGAAAATTTTCTATATGTAGTATACCGTTTCTCTTTTTGCTCTCTTTCCTTTTTCCGTGTTCTGGTTACTCTGATAAGAAATATTTTCTTGGTCGATCACACCAACCTGAGGGTAGTCCCCGAATTTCGTCTGGTAATCGAAGACGTATAGGTAGGAGTTCCTATGGGATTGGCTGTGAAGATCCGCGGTTCTCGTCGCCGGGGCGACCGTATTCGCGTCTCCCAAGGCCTCTAGGGTCTCGTCCCTGAAAAAAAATGAACAATCCCCTTTATGGTTTCCATAAGGTTACGACACTTCGGACACCGCCCACATTTCAAGCGAAAATAAATTTAGATAAGTAATACAAGTTGTACGGTCGAGAGAAAACTATGGAAAATAATGCCTCACGACACGAGTGCCATCGAAATCGTTCCGTTCTTAATCTTTGCGGGCTAACACACAGGTAATACAAACGAGTAATTAAGAGATGACACTGGGTGGAAATGTAATTAAAAGTTTAAATGGCGATGCGTTTTCCAACGTGTAAGAAAATGATCGTACAACGGGGGAAAGGAAGGTTCATATAATTATACTTAGTAAATAGATCATTGACGACGCGGGATAGACAATCAAGTAAGATGAATGAAATTGCGAAGGAAATGAAATTCTTTTCGTCCGGAATTCATTCACTCGGCTTTCTCCAGAATTACCTAATATTAACGGGATGCTGCACAGGTCGCTCCCAGTCCGTGTACTCGTTTATTATGGTAGCCAGGATCTCAGGCTGGTGATACGTGTACGTGTTCCGCACGAATTCGCGCAGGATCTTCGTCCTCCTGTCGGCCTCGATTCCGTACTGAGCATCGTCCGCGGTTAACGAAAAATACGCCTCCGAGCGAACTACCCCCACCATCAGATCGTACCTGCGAATTCAGGAACATTTCATCTTCTCGCACCCGTCGTGCGCGATAGAGATGAGCTCCGCGAGATATTAACAATTCCGCGCGATCTATAAAACATTTTAGGACGTAATAAGCTCCGCCTGGAAATAGAAAAACTTTCCCGCGAGATACAACAAGTTTCTCCCTTTAGTCCGTAGATTCTGAAATCCCGCGGGGAATTCGCGTTCTTGCCGGACTCTCATATCATCTGCTATAGAATATTTACCAAGGTAGCGAAACGTTTCAGAAAACGGAGGAAATATAGAAGATTTAACAACGCATATTCGCGGAGGGGGGGGGGGGGGAAGAAAAAGAGAGGGAATANTTTATTTCCCGGACTAGCCTGGAAGATAGACCGTAAAAATAAAATACAAATTTAACGGCTCCGTCTAAACATTCTGTCGTGAGCATAGCGGTGCCTCATATAAAAGCCGTTTACATCTTCTCCAGTCCAGGGAATAAAAAGGAATGGCCGGTGATGTTCCGGATATTTTTTTACACGGGAGGAGCTTCGGAGCAATTTTTTTCATTTTAATATCGTTCATGACTCTTAAGTCGCGGGGTCCCCGTCATCGGAGGCTCCGGAAATTTGTGGATCCCCCATCGGCGTTGTTTGCGCGCGTTTGTCGTATTTTATAATAAAGAATGAAAAGGAGATCTCCCGCGCGCGCTACAAGATGCGATTTTATGTTTCCGCGGTAGTCCTGCAGGACATCGTCGCTGTTTTCCGCGCTATTTATTTTCGCTATTATTTCCTTTCGCCATTATTTCCTCTTATCTCGGGACTCGATCTCGCGAGTTATAACGATCGGGGCGGACGACAGCAAAAGAAACAACCGACAGCCGGCGTATATACCTCGACAGTTTCGCCACGACGTCCTTCCTCAGCAGGATGTTGTTGAGCGTATTGATCGTGTCGACCTGCAGGGTGTAGTCCTGATCGTCGGGATCGCCGGGGTCGATCACGACGCCGTCTATACTGGGACCGAAAGCCGGCGCGAACTCCAATCCTTTAACAGGCACGGACACCAATTCGCTCAAGGACACGTCCCTGAGGCACCTAAGCAGGGCTTGAGGATCTCCCGCCGCCTGCGACAGGGTAGAGAGTCAACACGTCAGGAACATTCGAACAGTCCGAATCCTGACAAATTCGCGGTAAATCGCGTTACTTACTTCCGGAACGCACAGGAGCTTCCAGAAATCAGTAAGATTATCTACCACGTTTCTCCGCTTCGCGGAGAAAAATAATCCGCCGACACGGCAGATTTTATGCTGTCGCAGCGAAATCCGTCGATTACTACCGCGTGTACGGCAAAACGATTTGCTAGGAGTACTAATTGCCGGTTTGCTGCGATATTTTGCTGAGTCTCTAAATTATTTTGCTGCAAGAATAAATAAGTGAATGCGGGAGAAACACTATTTTGTCCCGACGGCAAATTAACGCGTCCCAAGAAGAAATTCACGCAGCGCAGAATATTTTCTATCCTTGCAACTGTTTCCGCTCTAATTATGAGTAATTCATAATTAGAGCTAATTTGATCAGGCTGATTAAATTTTATCGCTGTCGTAAAGAATATGCAGCAGCGACGAATGTGGCTTCGCTAGGACAGCAAAATTATTTTTCATAAAGAAGGCGTTATCATTGTCGTCTCTTTGCTTATCTCATTATCAATTCATTATCATATTATCTATTGCTACTTTCTTCCACGATGCGAGATTTGGTATTTCCTCGACCTCGACCTCGAGTCGTTGCTTCAATAATTCTCGTGAATAGCTGTCATTGTGGAAGGATATATCATTTACGGCACTACCCATAATTCCTTGTCGCTAATAAAAATGATTAGCAAAGCACTTACTACGAAAATAAATTTCCTGATTATAATTGTTTCACTATACGATTACATTTACAAGTACCGAACACTTTTCTCTTGGCACAGGGTTTCTTTACGTCTGTGCCGTTCATTGAAATTTACTGCTCGAAACAATCAGGGGATTGCTTCTTTAAGTAACGATCTTGCCTGCTAGATATCGGAACCGCTATTTAATTTGAGATACGGAATTATTTGACGAAATTATTCATCCCCCGATTATTTCAAACGGTGCAAAAAGCGCCCGGGAATGTCGTGTCAAAATTGCGCCTCAGAATTACGTCTGAGTGGCGCATCGGAATCGCACTTCAAAATTGCGCGGAACTTGCGGATTACTTCGCTCGCGATAAGTTTCGCAATCGTTGCGAAATCGCAAAGGGAAAAAATGCGAAACTCGCGCGTCTCGACGTATTTCGGAAATTAAAATGGATTCGAATTCTCGCGAAATGAGAGGCCCGTTTTTCGCAAAAGCACAATCGCCGAACGGAGTGTTTTCTATTTTCCCCTCAATGTGCGTTGTCGAGCGCGACGCGGTATTCGGTTCGCGGTCCGTTTATGCGCGACTCGCGTGTGTATTTCCGCGGCGTCGGAATAAATCCGTACATTCCGTTAAATCGTTAAATACCGTTGAAGTGATCGCGGTAGCGCGTGCTGTGAAGTGCAATCGACGTGGGACGACGACCGAGCGCAACGGAGACTGGACGCTGAGGACTCGGGGAATCCGGCTGCGCGTCGTGGGACATCGACGCGTAATGGTGAGTGCGTAATCAAAACGCTCATGAACGCGTCATATTACGTAGTGCACGCTATGTATAAACTAAATTGATTGCGAAGATCGCACACATTGACGGCGAAAAATTCGCGAACAATTCTGGGGACGCGACGCGCTGCGGCGCGCATCAGTAACGTCGAGTTATTCAAGTTTCATTCACCCCGGTGGAGATTTCATATATTTCCGAACGATTGTTTTGTAAAATTGTATAAACAATTTCAATACTTCCTCATTGTTATACCTTAAACGCCCGATATATATAATTATATACATTCCAAAAATCGTATTTTCCCGACGGCCAATTTTATTCGGAGAAAAAAATCTTTATCAACAACGTTCTCTGAAGCGATTTTATAAATTATATTTTACTTTCAGTGGAATCGACGTGTGCGTTTGAAATGGCTGATATTAGACAGGTGTCTAGGAAAATTGCGTACATTTCTACCAGGGCGATTGAAGCGAAACTTTAATTAGAAAGGAGACAAAGTACGTGCAACAGGGAAATGCCGCGCGCTATTGAACGAATGAACTCTTGATAAGATCGTTCAAACAGTACAGACATAACCGGTTAAAAGTCTGCAATTAGTGTAACAAAGGGTGTTATAACCCTCGATAGAACAGTACTTGGCGTTATACCGTTGGATAATTTTATCCGGGCGAAGTGCAATCAGGACCATCCTCCCTCCCTGCCTCTCTCCATTTGGACAACGGCACACGTGCGCGCGCGCGCGCGCGGTCATTTGCGCACGTGGTGGATTCGCCCATTTCGTCAGACCGGTCCGACATTCGATTGCGGCTAGCCTCCGTCTGCTAGCGCGCGAAGCTGGATTTCCAAAGGCGATTACCGCCGCTAAAGCAATTCATTTGCGTACGTCCGAATTAAAGCGAATCGCCACGCGAGCGCCCCCGAATCCCTTCGTCCGACCGTCCGTCCGACCGTATGCACGTTCGTTTAGGTCGCTCGTCCAGCATGGTCGTCGTCCGGATGCCGGATTCCGCTGAGCGACGCGCGAAAATCTTGTTTACCTTGCCGGCGCCGCGTAGGTGGCCTCGTTAAGGCGCCGCCTCGTTCCGACGGTATATCCTCGCAGGAAAATGTCGACCCTTTCTCGCCGATCTCCCGCATATCCACCCTTTCCCTCCCTCCCCCCTGCCTCTTCGCGTAAAACGCGTTAACTCCAGCGCGCCTTCCGCTATTTTCAGGCGATTTGCCGCGTGAGTTATCCCGGGCGTGTTGAGTGTAATTTATCGTGCACGCGGAGAAATGAAAAGAGGAACGCGCGCACGAGAAGTTCGCTTGGGACACGGCGGGATTTTTAATTCAAATCAGCAACATAGGGCGGGTGTCGCGCTGATGAACAGCCCGCCGTACAGTCCCTATAATGAGAGTCTGGACAACCGTAGCTGTGGCCGCTATGTTTGGCTCATAACCCGGAAGTTTACAGCCATCCCGAGTTAAAATTCTATATTCTACATGATGGCTTCCGATGGGGAGGACGGAAATAAGTTCCCACTTGCAGCATCGAAGGTGCGCTATAAGTGCTTCTTTAACGCTACGGAGGAAATTTAGTCCTTCATAGTCAGATTTTAATTCTACATTAAGTCTTCAAGTGGAGAAAACGGCAGTAACTTTCCCCATTTGTAGAACCAAAAAGGACACCAAAGAAGACTTTAGACCACATAATGTAGAATTAAATTCGACTAAAAGTAGAATTAAATATTAAAATTAAATGCAAATTTAATTAAGAAAAAAATTAAATACAAATTTACTTTTCTTTTAACGCTCTTTGTAGACTTCGTAGATGGCAAATCTTCGCTTTGTTGGCATTCAGCTGATCACTTTGATTGCTTTCCAGCGAGAGACATAAATCGACACAAGTCTAGTTACATTATTATGTATTGTTATCATATGTTTATTTCGCATTTAATAAAGAAAATAATATAAAAAAAGATGATGAGTGATATAACTAGACTCGCGTTGATTTTTACCTTCTGCTGGAAAGCAGCCTTTGACACGTTCCAACCGAAAACTTAGGCCGAAAATAGTGGAGTCAGTTAGAAATCAAACATACGGTGTCCAAACTTTTAATGGACGCTTTCCATTTAGCAACAAAGTCGACACGGCCCGAGCTGAAAAAAAATGTTGATGCTACTCTGAGTGCTCTTAAAGATAGTTTGCGTTCACTTGAACGGCGTATAGACTAGTAAAAACTTGCTTTGACGATACTGATACTTTTTAACTTCTCTCTTGAACCTTTAATTCTACAGATTGAATTTTAATGTTACCTTTAACAACCTGTTTTAGCGCTAAAACAGGAAAAGAAATTTAAGATATTAGGGTCAAAGTAGGGATTATATTATATTATTAGAATCGAAATTGAATCTATTTTGCTATCTTAGTTCGTATTATGTTATAGAATGAAAAGTCTAACATAGTTTAACATAGCCAAAATTTCAACAAGGGAAACATCATCCTGTCTTTGTTACTCATTGAATATAGAACAAAGACAAAATGCTGTTTACTTGTCACTAAATGAAAAGCACCCGTTATAAGAACTCTAGTCCATTAGACCCCCTTCCACCCCCTGGCGAGGGAAGCGGATCGTTCGATTCGGAAAAGTGAGTTGGGAGGTTGTAACTCGCGTTTCGGAAAGTGACGCTTCGAGCGAGGATCAGAGAGCCGATTGTTTCTCGATGTTCTCGAAGGCGTCGCGTGGGTCGAGAAAAGGGAAGAAAAAATATAAATAAGCGAAAATGACAGCGGCGCGAGATGGAAATCGGGGTTATATTATGCCGCTCGCATATCCGCGAACTTGTACCGAAAATCGATTTGATTCTCCCTTCGCATACCCTCGCACCCTCCGTCCCACGCATCGCCGAAATACCCGGGAGAGAAAGTTCGAAATGGAAAAACACCGATGAAACCCGGTTATCTTTTATTGGGTTATTTTTGACGGGCGAGAAACGCGACGTCGGTTATAGATATATATCAGGGCCTCCGCGACGAAGATCGGAAATATCGTCACCGGAATTTACAGCGCCGCATATCAATTTCAATGAAAAGACGTCACGGTGGCTCCGCGGTTATAAAGTGGGCCAAGTACGTAATTCGCCTCCAATAAAATAACCGTCAACCGAGTGGAACATATTTTTCATAGCTTTCGTAACGCAAGATGTACCTTGCGGCGGAAGGAGAAAGGTAGAAGGAGCCAGAGAGAGAAATAAAAGAAAGAGAGAACCGAAGTATGTGTGTGTGAGAAAGAAAGAAGGAGAGAGAGAGAGAGAGAGAGAGAGAGCCGAGTGCAACGACGATAATGCGGTATTCCCTATTGAATTTCGAGATTGCTTTAATTTAATTTTATCCTGACGTTATTTCTCGTTACAGTAAGAGAGAAAGAGAGGGAGAAGTAAAACCGGAGGCGCGCAGCGAGGATTATTCCGGTGGATCGGAAAATTTCTCGCGTCGTTATTATCGTTGAACTTCGTCGTTGGAAATTAGGGACTTCCGGAATCTCCACATTCGGCCGCATTACGGCTTCATTTTTCTCGAATGTGTATGGAGCTACTTAGAGAAATAGGCGGCGGGGGCTTTCAGATAATAGGAAACAGCGCGGCGGGACGTTTCCGATCGCGAGGCTATTTACCGCATTCGTGTTATCGTGCTACGACGCGTTCGGATTCTCTCTCTCTCTCTTGAAGCGTTGAATCAAAAAGAGCGATTTCTCGGCGCGTCTCGTTTAATATTCGAAATGAAAATTTCCGCGAGATTAATATTTTGCCTTTGAACGCGCGCGACCTCTCTCGCGCTCTCGGCCGTGTGTGCGGACGCGTGTAAATTCGAATTTACTTTACGCGGCTCTAATTCGCAACCGGGAGGAACCATCCTATTTTCCGTATACGCGCGTGCGTACACACCTACGGGCCGGTATACTAAATTCGCGTCGCCCAATTTGCAATTTGCGAAATTTAGTGTCTCTTTTATTGAAAGTGCGCGCGCACGCATTCGCCTACTGGGGCCGATGTATGTCTCGGGTGTATATTAGCTTAATTGAAACGCGCCGTTAATATAATTGGTAGCGTGTAATTAACGCTGTAAAAACACCGGCGCGCACGCGCCCCGGTATTCGCACGCATTTGATATTTTAATTTATGCCCGGCCTTTTACGCGGTCATTTCAACACCGACGATCGGCATTATTGTGAATTATACGAGCGGCACTCGAAAACGAGTGAATAAGAATTAAAATGAGAGAGAGAGGGGGGGGGGGAAGAGAAGGGGACGGAGTGCTGACGCGATGAAAAATATAACTGAAACGTGTCCGATCGGCCTGCCTTGTAAACTGAAATGAACGGAACGTCCGGATTTAACGTCGCGATTCAATACGTCCGCTGCCTCGTAAAGCTCGGACCTGTTCGGGAGAACTGAATGCCTGAATTTTCGAAAATTTTTCGTACATCCGGCCTTCCCGTTCGTAATTACAACGCGTATCGCGTACACATGCCCCTCCCCCTTTCCCCTCGTATTTTTAATTCTATTTGTTTACACCCGGCGCGCGCATGTGCGCTGGCGATTCAATTAAATTCGTCGGATTCAAGTCGACGATACGCCTTTTTATTTTTCGTCGTCATTAATTTCACAGTTTAATTCCGATATTGACGAGAGAAAGGGAATTGCCGGCGAGGTCAGTGCGAGGCGCGTCAGATTAAATGTCGCTCGTCTCTCTTTTTTTATCTCTCTCTCTCCCCTCCCCCCCCCC